GTCATTTCAATCTCTTGTCAGCTAACTTCTTGAGTATTTGCATGTCATCATGCTCACATCTCTTAGTTCTCTTCCATTCCCCTAGGCAGCAGCCTGGTTCAGACTCCGATTGCCTCCTCCCTGGACAACTGGAAGAGCCTCCTGGCTGATCTTGACATTAACTTTTCCATCTCTAAGCCGCCCTCTGTGCCTTGTCTAGGAAATCACTGCATTGCACAGATCTGATGAGGTTACTCCACTACTCAAAAACCTTCAGAGGCTCCCTATTGCCTACTCAATAACAGCCGAGCTTTGGGTCAGGGATTCACAGCCCTACACAGTCTGACTTCGATTGACCTTTCCATTCCTACTCCATTCTCCTTTATAAATCCTTAAGCCAGACTGGACAAGCTTGTCATTCCCCAAGACATCCTACACTCTTCTGCTTCTTACTTTTGCCCACACTGTTCCACAGGCCTAGAATTCCATCCCCTGGCATACCCCATCCGCCCCATCTCTACCTGGTGAAATCCTGTATTCTCTTTAAGTTCCAAATCATACACTACCTCTTCAATGAATCTTTCTCTGATTCCCTCAGCTGGATATTATCTAGGCGGTGGGGTGAGTAGAGCACTGGAACTAAGGACAGAAAGACCTGAGTTCAGATCCAGCCTCAGATACTTAACAGCTCTGAGCAAGTCACTTAATCTCTAATCCACCTAGGTTTCCTCCACTGGAAACTGGGATCATAACAGCACCTACCTCCCAGGGCTGTTGTGAGGATCACATGAAATAATAGTTTAAAGATCCTAGCACAGTAGGTAGCACACAGTAGGCACTTAATAAATGCTTATTTCTTTTCTATTTTCCTTTCTCTTCTTTCTTATTTCTTCCCTATCAAATCTATCTATTTATAACTGTCTCACTTATCTTATTAAATGAGCCTCAATTTTCTAATGCTTGATTGTGAAGTGGGGGAAAAAAAGTCTATATGAATGTGATATCATCAATGACTAGCTTTTAAGGAAAAAAAAGTGTCCTTCAGGAACGAGATGTTCCAAAGGAGGTGGCCTGGTCATGTTGTAAGAGAAAAGGCTCACAGGCAGCTTTGTCGCTGCGCTGATGGTACCCAGAGAATGTGAAGAGGCCTGAAGGAAGGAGTAAATCCTCCCCATCTGTTGGAAGACATAGAATCAGGGCCAGCTAGGTGGCACAGTGGATAGAGCACCAGCCCTGGATTCAGGAGGACCTGAGTTCAAATCCAGCCTCAGACATGTAACACTTAATAGTTGTGTGACCCCGGGCAAGTCACTTAACCCCATTGCCTAGCCAAAAGAAAAAAAAAACAGGAAGACATAGAATCATAAATGACAGATTGAGAGCAGTAAGGAGTGCAATCTGTCCAATCCTTTCACTTTACAGAGAAGGAAACTGAGGTCTAGGTTGATGAAATGACTTATCCCAGGTGACACAAATAGGAAGTATTAGAGGCAGAATTTTAACCTAGGTCATCTGATTCCAACTCTATATTATGTAAGAGGAGAAGATCTGGTTGGGTATTGAGCTATACTCAGGGAAGGATGCATTGATGAGAATGCAGAACTAATAAAGCACAGATTCTTGTTTTTTCTTCTTATTAAACCCCAGAGGCCTTGTGGTGACTGGTTCTTGAGGGCAAGAAGCCACGTCTTATGGATCTTTTCTTTCCTCCTTCCCTCCCCCACCCCCAGTACAGTACTTTGAACTTAGATCATACTTGGTAAATGTTTGCTGGGTTGAATGGGATGGAAATAACTTCTTCCTCCAACTAGATTAGAAGTCAAATGATCATAAGAGCTCAAACAGAAATTAGCGGTCATCTAAAGCCCCTTTTAAAGTAAGTAGCAGAAGAACAAGGATTTGAATCGATGGGTAGGGGTCATATCTTCATCTTTTATTTTTCTCTTTGGTAATTATTAGAAGTTGAGTAAATACTTGTTAACACTTTAGCTTTAAGCTATTTCTGTCATCATGAAGAAATTAATTTCTGTCATCATGAAGAAAAGTTCTTAGGAATGCTGTAAGTGGAGATAAGTAGAGGAGAAAGTTCATGGTTGAGGACTTCCAGGGAAAATAGTCTTGGACTGTCATTACTAGAGACTGGAACTAAGGGTAGATAACATAGCCTCCGAGGTGTACAGTTGGGAAAGGGCAACAAAGAACTTTTTCAAAATGGGTTTTAGGGGGGCAGCTGGGTGGCACAGTGGGTAGAGCTCTGGCCTTGGAGTCAGGAGGACCTGAGTTCAAATCCGGCCTCAGACATTTGCCATTTACTAGCTGTGTGATCCTGGGCAAGTCACTTAACCCCGATTGCCTCACCAAAAAGAAAAAAAAAAGATGTGTTTTAAATGAATGCATAAATTTTTTAATGAAATATTTATTTTGTGAAAAATCATGGCATGTTTTATCAGGAAGGTTCAAAGCCTCCCAACAGACAGGAGGGCTACAATTTTCAGAACTTGCAGTTGTACACAAATGCTTTGTCCTAGTACTGAGATCAGGATAGAGACTCTGGTCAGCAGCAAGTAGCTACATTTATTTATTCATTCAGTAAGCATTTATTAAGCACCTATTATATGCAGGTCACTGGGCTAAATGCAAAGACACACATCTGGGGCAGGTGGGGATGAAAGCAGTGACAAGGAAATGGCTGCGTGACCTTGAGCAAGTCACCTCCTCTCCCTGGGCCTCATTTTCCTCCTCTACAAAAAGTGAAGGTTATACTGGGTCAGGGATCCTTACCAATTTTTTGTGTCATGGAGCCCTTTGGCCATCTGGTGGCACCCATAGACTCCTTCTTGGAATATTTTTTAAATTTAATAATTGAAAGAAATGATAACTTGCAGTTAAACGTTAGTGAAAATGAGGATGTGATTCTTCCCCCATCCAACTGCATGAATTCCCTGAAATCTACCCATGGACCCCAGGTTGAGCCCCTGGACTAGATATGATCTTTCAGGTTTCTGCCAACTCTAAAATACTACCTAGGCACTGGAGATTAATTTCTGCATCCCAGCCATGCTGAATGTCAGCCCAGGCACTGGTTAGAGTCCAGGCTCTTATCTCTCCCCAAAGAGAAAGGGCACTTGCACATTAAATACATTCCCTGAGGCCAGCTGTGACTGTGACAGTCTAAGAGGCTTGGTTCCCAGGTGGCCACAAGGGGACAGACCCTCGCTTTCCTTTAAAGCCCTGGATTGGTGAGAAGGTGTCTCCACTCCCACTCAGCAAACCAACTGGCAGGGAGGGCATATGATAAGTAATCTCCTTCATCAGATCAGCTGGAAACAGAACCAAGAAAATAACAAAACTGGAGCTATCAACAGGGGAAAGCAGACCAGTCTGTGGGGCAGCTGAGATAAAAGGAGTTTAACAGAAAAAGGAAGAGATTAGGGAACTGTAGAAAATCATCAGATAAAGGCAAGGGGACATAGGCACACTACAGCTGTGGAAACAGTCGTGGTCCCACTTTCTTCGCAGGGGATGGGCATTTCAAAGCCTTCAGAGGTCATCTGGTTCATCCCTCTGCCACCAAGTTCAACACCAAAACCATTCCATAATGACCCTTTGCCCTTCAGGACGTCCCCTTCCACAGCCTCCAATGCTGGATGCATCTTCTTGTCCAACTCCATTCTCTCCTGCTAATACCTCAGTTCAATGTAGACTTCCTCACGTTGATAGAGAAGACTTCTAGTCATCTCTAGGGGAGTCTTTGGCACTCCATGTGTGCCAAAGGAGAAGGAAGAATGGGAAGGGAAGCTTTCCAGATACAGACCTTGACAGAGGGTACGCTAGACTTGTAGTAAGGAAGTCCTGCATTCAAAGCCCACATCAGACACTGACTACCTATATGGCAAATCACTTAACTGCCCTCTGCCTCAGTTTCCTCATCTGTAAAATGAGAACGTCAGACTTGATGGCTTCTAAAGGTCCCTTCTAGCTCTAACGCTATGATGCTATGAAGCATGTCTTTTGCTGTAAAGAGGCAGCTAAGTAGTACAGTGGATAGTGAAATTAGAAACATCTGAATTCAAATGTGGCCTCAGGAACTTAGGAGCTATTTGACCCTGGGCAAGTCACTTAATCTTTGTCTGCTGAGGGGATGATAAGAGCACCCCTTCAAGAACGATGGACAAACCACACACCAATAATAATAGTACCTATCTTCCAGGGTTGTTGTGAGGGTAAAAAATGATGCTATTTGTAGAAAGTGCTTTGCAAACCTTAAAATCCAAAATAAATGCCATTATTATTATCCTCATGGAAAGTGCGCTGGCTCTAGAAGCAGAACTGGATTTAAAGCTTAGCAATGCCTCTTGCTAGTTGGGTAACTCAATTAACCTCCAAGTTTTACTTTTCTGTAAAATGGGAATATTAAATGCTTTCAATACCTACCCCCACAGAGTTGTGAGGAAAGTGCTATGTAAATCTTAAAATGCTTTGTAATTGTGATCTATTATTGTGATCTTATCTGAGAGTCAGGCCTGTATGTGAGCAGCTGGGTGGGTCCTTGGCTAGAGATAAGAATGAGTTTTCCATGCCCGCCATCATACCTTCTACTCCCACCCAGAGGATTAAATTTAATTTTTTTTCCCTGGCACCCACCTGCATTTGGTATATGAGGGGTGGGGAAATGTGAAGCTGACCATCCAGATAGGGAGAATCAGTTTCAAGGACAGCTTGGTTCCTGTTCCCACCCAGGCCTTCTCTCTAATTTCTGCCTTTGGCACTGTCCATCCAGGAATTCAGATCACCTTTCCTCCCCACCCTTTCTATGAGAGATGTAGGATCTATTTCTCCCCTGTCATATAGATGGGGCCCAGAACAAGTGATCTGCCCAAGGTCACATAGCAAGTAGGGGGGATACCAGCTCAGGGGTCTCTCTGGGCATTGGTTCTCACCAAGGACAATGGTCCTCCTGGGAACTGCCCAGAGGAAGACTTTCTTTATCTCACTGACTCCCCACATACTTCCCTATCCAGGCTGGCCAAGTCACTGTGGGTCCTCTTCACCTCATCTCTGACCATCTCACTAGTGTTTGCTGTCATCCCCTTCTGCCAAGATGTGAAGGTGTTGGCTACAGTCATAGCTATAGCTGGTCTGGCCATGGGATTCATAGACACAGTGGCTAACATGCAGTTGGTGAAGATCTACCAAAAGGATTCTGCTGTCTTCCTCCAGGTGAGCCTGGGGACAGATTAGGAACAGGACTTTTTAGGTGGTGATGATGAATGGGGGATCTTTCTTACACAATCCATTTCCATCCAACCTAACCCATCTCTTCTCCCCACCCAACTCTCCAGTCCCCATCTGTCTCACTCTCATAAAATTAAGGGCTAGAAGAAATATTAGACAGGAACAAACCCAACTCACTTCACAGATAAAGAAGGTGATTCCCAAGGAGGTAAAACAACTCACCCAATGTCATACAGGTAGTAAGTCGCAGAGGTGGGATTTGATACCAGGCCCTCTTACTCCAAAGGCAGTGCTCTTTATCACTCCTTCCCCCACCCAGCCTTTGTCTTCACCCATCCTCCTCCCCATCACCCAGCTTGTCCATCCTTCTCCCAAACACTCAGGTATTCCAGTTCAAAGTAGCTTTCACTTCCCCTCTCCCATGCTGGTCTTTCCTCTTAGGGAAGCTAACCAGCTGCTAAGCTTTGGCTATGACTCTCCTCCCCTGATCTGGGGCTAGTGAAGCAAAAGTCAAAAGGTTCCATTTTTTTAAAGGCAAATTATAGCCAAAGGTGGGCAGGTGCCACAGCTTGGTGTCATGCCACTTTCTCCATATGAGACCTTGGGCAGGTCAATTCCCATCTGAGCCCTCTGTACAAGGTGGTAACTAAACTGCAAGACCTCTGAGGTCCTTTTCAGCTATAACATTCTGAGCTCTCTGGTTCACACATAAGATGGTTTATCAGGAGCATACTGAGAAAGGGATTTCCAGCCTTTAGGGAGACAGCTCCATTCCACTCCACCCCATCCCACTTCTTATTCTGAATTTTTACTTCTTTCTGCACCAGGGGACAGTCTCCCTAATGGGATGTCAGAACTGGAAGGAGCCTGACAGGTCAAATTTCCAAACTTCCAAACAAAATTCCAAACTTCTAATGCCTGCAGGAATCCCCATTCTGCATGACAATGCAGCAAAAAGAGCAAAAAAATATGAAGTCAGAGGGCCTGAATTCAAATCCCACCTTTGCTTCTCATTAGCTGGGTGACCGCTGGGCAAGCCTTAGCTTCCCCAGCTGTAAAATGAAAGAGATAGAGCAGACAAGCTTCAAGTTTCCTTCTACTTGTAAATCCTATGAACCTGTAGGGGATGGGAGAGGGTACCATGTCCAGAACTTAGCAAGGCTTGGCAGAGATGGTGACTGAGTTCCCTTGTCCATTGGTTGTCTCATCACTATTTCCTACCAGGTTCTCCATTTTTTCGTGGGCTTTGGTGCCCTTTTGAGCCCCCTCATCGCTGACCCTTTCCTTTCTGAGGCTGATTGTGTGCCAACCAATGCCACGAACCATGACAGAAGCGGCAGCCCCCATTTCCAAAAAATCTTGACACCCCACCGTCCTCTGCCCAACCTGACCCACCATGAGCTACCTGCCCATGCCTGGGTCGGGAATCAGATGTCTTATGCCTTCTGGATCATGGCCTTGATAAATGTGAGTACCACCCTGGAGATGGGGGCAGCACTAACATTCTGTGTTTCTGTGATTTATGTAGAACGTGATTTTAGAAGCATAGCACCCTGTGGCGGGTAACGGATGAAACGTCTAAGGAAACAAAGGTTTGATCTTCTAAGCATATCGATTTATTAAGTGTGGCAATTGCCCAGCAATCTCAGACCATACCTCCTTCAGCTAAGACCTGGACGCTGAATACAGGGGGAGACAGACTTTTACATACTAAAAACAATCAAATGAGGCCAATTAATTAAAAGGAAACAACCAGGATACATTAGGTAATCTGATTCCTAGTTGGAGGAAAGATTAGGGATTTTCTAAATTGGGAGGGAGAGAATGAACAGGTACAATTCCCTGAAATCAGAAAAGGAGGCGTCTCATTCCCAAGGGTCTGTGAATAATCGAAGGAACATGGAAACAATACCTGATCGATCAGTACAAGGCCAGTTTTCAGATAAGATATATGAGCTGCTTGAGATGTACAATAGTGAGAAAAGTCCTTGCATCAGTCTTTGTATCTGACTGGTTTTCTGGTCAGCATAACCTAGGTCTTTGGTTAAGGGTCTCTAAGTAGGATGTAGGAGTGGTCCAGCTTTCCAGCCGCTCAGGGCTAGGTTCAAACAATAGAATAAGGTTTTCTCCCAATTCCCACAATTGAATGAAGTTTTCTCACAAAACAGAAATTGTGCCAGACCCATAATTGAATAAAAAGGTAACTGAACCAGCTCCACAATTGAGTCACAAGATGGAGGCAGTGTGGTGTGCCCAATTCCCACCACCACTTGCTATTCTAATCCCCTCAATTCCCTCAATTTTCTCAACCCAAATGAAGAAAGGCTTAGAAAATGAGAATATATGGTCAGGAATGATTTAACCCAATTCACTGCAATAATTAAATTCGACATTATTAAGTGTCGATTACATACAATAGATACAAGACACAGCTGATAGGGGGTCTCAGGAAGACCTGGGTTCAAGTCTTGACTGTGTGACCTCTAACATATACTGACTATGTGAGCCTGGCCAAGTTATTTAACTTCTCCATAGCCCAGGCAACTCTCTAAGATTATAAGGCGCAGAACAGTTGCTGATAAGAATTATTAGAGAGAGTTTTTCACTGGAAGTTCTCTATACTAATTAATTCACAGCACTAGACCAAAATAAAATAAATAAAATAAAAATAAAATAAAATAAAATTGTACCAATCATCATGGAAGTGCAAAGATGAAAACCATAAGGTCCCTGTCCTCAAAGAGCTCCTAGGATGTAGGATAAGACAAGTCCACCAATAAACATTCTACAGGACAGGATGTGATAAGGGCAAAGCAGACAATGTCCTCAGGAAAATTTGAAGAGAAAAATATCATTCATGGCTAAGACATGGGAAGGGAAGAACCAAGAGGAGGAAGGGGAAGTTGAGGAGGCTTCATGGATAAGCAGCACCAAAGTGAGGAGGAGGAGGAGGAAGAGGAGGAGGAGGAGGAAGAGGAGGAGGAGGAGAGGAGAGGAGGAGGAAGAGGAGAGGAGAGGAGGAGGGAGGGGGAGAAGAAGGGAGGGGAGGGGGAGAAGAAGGAAGGGGAGGAGGAGGAAGAGGAGCAGGAGGAGGAGGAGAAGATGATGATTCCAACAGGTAGAAGTGAAGAGTGAGTACAGTCCAGGTGTGGAGGATGGCCTCAGCAAGTTCATGGAGCCTGGAGATAAGGGAACAGCTAGCAGTGTGATGTGATAGCATAGAGGAGAAAAAATAGGAAGGGAGGCTGGACAGGCAGTTGCACCTGGAGGAAAATAATCATTTCAGAACTCTTCTCAGATCTCTGGAGGGTTGTTTTGCAGAAGACAGAGACCTGCTGTTTTCTTTTGCCCAGGCTAGGAAAAGGAGGGACAACAAGAGGGATTCAGGTTAGATGGGAAATGGGGCACAGAGGGATAAAACAATCTTCTGGCCAAGGGTGGCAGCCTATTAAGTACAAAAGAAATGTATGTGACACACCCAGGGGAGCTGGGTTTGAATTCTGTCTCCTCTACCGAACTACCATCAGCCTCTGGGTAAGTCACTTGCCATCTCTATGCCCAAATTCCTCCCTCTGTGAAAGGAAGGGATTGGGGGCAGCTAGGTGGCGCAGTGGATTGAGCACCAGCTGTGGAGTCAGGAGGACCTGAGTTTAAATCCGGCCTCAGACACATAACATTCACTAGCTGTGTGACTCTGGGCAAGTCACTTAACCCCAACTGCCTCACCAAAAAAAAAAAAAAGAGGGGATTGAACTAAATGACCTCTAAGGTCCCCTCCCGCTCCAAATTGATGATTCCAGGATATTTAGAGGAGTTCCTCTACAGGACCAGGGTGAATGAAATTCTTTTGGGGAGGGCTTGCAATGATGGGGAGCTAGGAAAGGGAGACTGTGCAGACTGGAAAGGAGACTCCACTATAGGACCTTGGCACCATTACCCTTCCCACCCTCCCCTTTGGACCATGATGCCAAAGGAGAGTCGGGTGCAGGACTGACTCGCTGCATTGTCTGTGGGGCAGTGTTGGCTCTGCCCTTGGCCTCACCTCTGCTGACATTCTACAGTATCAGCCTAGGTGGGGAAGAAAGACCCCAGATGACACAGGAGGACCCCCAGGACTCTGGGGACAGTTCTTATCTCTTGGTGTGGCACTCTCTCAGCACAAAGTGGGAGGCTGGTGGATGGGATAGGATGCTGGGATCTTGGGGTTACCTAGTTAAATCAGGAAGGCATTCGGGCTTGGTACTGGAAAGCAGGAAGAGCTGGGCTTGAGTCCTGCTTCATTTATTTCCTATTAGTGTAACCCTGGACCAGTCAGTCTCTCTAAGCCTCAGTTTCCTTATCTATAAAATGTGGATAATAATTGCATCTATCTCACGGACTGTTATAAAGGTCAAATTGGTGGTGGGGGAGGCAGTATCTCCACAAGTGCTACGTAAACCTGTGCTTCTTTCATCTGCACTGTTACCCCCTTGGTTACTGGATTCAGAAGTAAGATTAGGGATCACCTAGTCTGACTGCTTCATCTTACAGATGAGGAAGCTAAGGCCTAGTGACCTACCCAAGATAAACACAGATATTGAGTTCTGAGCTGGAATTTGAACCCTGCTGTCAGAGGGATGAACACACTGACACCTTCAGGGCCAAGTCCTTCAAGTGAGAGTCTGTGGGTCAGTGTAACCACCATCCCTGTTGGGGAGTCCCTTGCCATCTCCTGCTGTGCCCCCACCAGGTGTAGATTGAGCTGCTGATTCCCTTCCAGAAGGGTGAGCCACAGGCACCACCCCCACCCCAGCAGCCCATTCAGCTGGGCAAGGGCAGCTGGCCATCTCAGGGCTATGGCCTCCCATCCCCCGTCATCGCTGAGGATAGCTTTTTCCTCTTCCTCTTCCCTACCTTTGTCACCCACCTCCGGACTCCCTCTTCCTTTCCTTTGGTCAGCACCTGCACTGGGCTTCTCTGGGACAGTCCCTAATCTCTCCCTGCCCCATCCCTCACCCCATATTACCTATTGTTCTGGAAACAATGACTCTATCAGCCAGTCCACTCAATGGGCACCATAGAGGGGAAGGAGCTCTGTCCATTGCAATAATGCATCAAGGTTGGGACTCCAGTGGCCAGGAAGCCAGAAGTTTTAGGTACAAAGGCCAGGCTCTGTTCTTGCTAGCTAGGTAAGTTGGTGAGACCCCAGGGTTTTATTTTGTTTTTTGTTTTGGTTTGGGCTTTTTTTGTTATGTATTTGCCAGAGGATTTCCGGGCTTTTTCCATTGGCTCAGTCAGAAAACAAACAGTCCTCCCACGGGAGAATGGAAATCCCCACCCGCCCACTCTTCCACTCCCCCACTTTTCTTGGTTGTCTTTTATAAAGGAAAAGCTCACTTTTCTGTCGCCCAACCCTATCACCATCAGCACCACCCGGGTGTCTAAATGCCCGCCGTTTGGGAAGGACCCAAAGTAAATGGTCCTGAACTGCTGCAAGAGGCACCCGGCTTAGACGTAATACGAGCTGGCATCGTAGAGTTCTCTGAAGTCTGCCAAGTGCTGTACAGCCATACAGTGCCATTTGATAGAGCTCTCTGGGCAGGAAGCTTAGGCACAGGAATTGTAGCTGAGGTTTTATTTAATACCTAGCATTTATATTGTGCTCTAAAGTTTTCCAGGTGCTTTAGGTATCTTGCTTCCTTCCTTACAACTGCCCCAAGACTTAGGTGCTATTATTATCCCCATTTTACAGATGAGGAAACTGAGGCTGAGATTAGTTAAGTGATTTGCCCAGAGGAAGGATTTGAACTCAAGTCTAGCACTCCATCCACTGTGTAGCTGCCACATAAGTAAATACCTACTGTATACAGCAGATACATACATATAGATTCCTATATATGCATGTATATACATATATGTGTATGTGTGTATATATTATGTATATATGTGTGTGTATATACATATACAAATACACATATATCCTGCATCTTGTAGACCAGGTATATTCTAGGCTGGTAGCTCCATCCTATCCTTTGGATACTGGAATAGACCTTAAAGTTCATCTGGTTATTTCAACTCTTTCAATTTACAGATGAGGAGACTGAGGCACCACATCCTTACCCCCACACTAAGAAATAAAGTTACTTGTTCCGGGTAAGAGAGGAAGCAAAAGTAGGGGCAGCTAGGTGGCAAAGTAGATAGAACAACGGCCCTGGAGTCAGGAGGACCTGAGTTCAAATCTGACCTCAGACACTTACTAGCTGTGTGACCCTGGGTGAGTCATTTAATCCCAATTGCCTCAACAAAAAAAAAAATAGAGAGGGAGCAAGTGACAGTATTGGGACTTGAACCCTGGTTCCTGATTCCTAGAGCGATGTTCTTTCTCCCCATTTGACTACCTCTTCCAGCCCACCTTCCCAATCATCCTGAATGTTGTTCAAACCACCCCCCTCCTCCTTCTACTGTCACCTCCAGGAAGTCTTCTCTGGGGCACTGACTATGCTGACTTCTTAACTCTGTGTCACCTTGGGACGAAGTTAGATCATCAGTTCTTAAAGTGTTCTGAAGTCATTTCACGTGTGTGCATATGTGTGCATGAATGTGGTTTTCCCTTTCTCCCTCCCCCCAAATCACACTAGGAGCTTTCAAGATAAAGAAAAGGCAGCAGTGTAGTAATAGTGTAAATAGCCCTGGTCTGAGAGTCAAAGAACCTGAGTTCAAATCCTGCCACCATCACTTATCTGGTCTCTCTTGGCTTCAGTTTTCTCATCTGCAAAATAAAGGTGTTGGTATAGATCAGAGGTGTCAAACTCTATCAGGCTTGAACCAAATTAAAGTTCAGTTGGGAAATGTTTAACAAAATAAATACAAATACAACATAGATACTGTGAATATGTGGTTTTCTAAGTTATTGACAGGTATCTGTTATAGATGGCCTTGGGCAGCTAGGTGGCACAGTGGAGAGAGTGCCAGGCCTAGAATCAGAAAGACTCATCTCCTTGAGTTCAAGTCTGGTCTCAGACATGTACTACCTGTGTGACCCTGGGCAAGTCACTTAATCCTATTTGTCTCAGTTCCTCATCTGTAAAATGAACTGGAGAAGAAAATGGCAAACCACTCCAGGGTCTTTGCCAAAGAGTTGGACACAAATGAAATGACTAAACAACAACGATATTCTCCATCCAAGGAGGTCCCAGGAAGTTGTGTCTACTTCCAAAATTGCTTCTAGCTGGGTCCCATACTTGGCTTGGGATGGCCAACTCTTCTCAACTGGACCTGAGTGCCTTGTCCTTCCCTAGCCTATCCAATGGCCAAGAGCAGATGAATTAGCTATCTTATGTCACGAGACCTTGAGAAACATGGCACTTCCAGGGCTTCCTGCTTTCCCAATGGCTCGATGGGCAGCGTGATTTCATAGTAAGAACAACAGACCTAGCATCCTGGGCCTGAGACATGGCTCTACCACTTATCTGTTCTGTGACTTTGGATAAGTCAATCAGGCTCTCTGAGCCTCAGTTTCCACGTCTTTAAAATGGATGTTAGGCTAGACAGAATCAAGTGAGAACCTATAAGTAAATAAGTCCACAAAGCCCTATAGAAATGAGAGAATTATATCCTCTTAGAAGCAAGCTAGAGGAGATGAGCACAAATTCAACAGTAGGAAAAACTGAGGTGAAACATGAAGACTTTCCCTGAACTGCAGGGAAGGGAGGAATGAAGTGGGGGTGGGGGACTCCTCTGGACCACTTCAGAAATAGAATCGCTTTCCTCCTTGTCCTGGGGAGGATGCCTGAGGCAGGAGGATAGATTTGTTAGCTTCTCAGCCCTGTTACTGGTGATATCAATGCTTCCACATTTATTATGTCACTGAGTTCTTCTGTGTGTACTCATGAGTGTCTTAGTTTATTCTGTTTGGGAGGAGTGCAGGGTGGTCTTTTATGTTTACTGTAAAAGAACCTTATATAGCACCACAGGGGTGGGAGCTCTTGTTCCGACCTCTTGCCCTCCTCCCAGCCCAATCACGAGTACACCAACAGGCCAGCCACTGGTGGTACCTTGGGCAAATGGGGTAAGGCATTTCTGACACTCAGCTTCCCGCTCTGGAGAATAGGATAATAATCTTTACCAGGCCTAGCTCACAGGGCAATTATGATGATCAAAAGAGATGAAAACTGTGAATTGCTTTGTACGGCATAAAGTTCTGTACAATCTAAGAGAAAACTCACCAGGAATGACTCATAAGGATGGTGGTGATGACTGATCCAATAGCTTGATTAAACAAACTTTTAAGTCTCCTATGAGCAAGGAAGCTTAAGGTAACAGCGGAGCCTGGGAGTTAGAACAGCTAGGTTTGGGGAACTAGATTCAAGCTGCCCATGGGAAAGGGACCTACCACTTCTGGGAAGTAAGGGAAGGGGAGAGTTAGAACAAGATAGAACTAGACCAGGGGATCTATATTGTAGAAAGTGAGTTTATATCTTAAATAGTTCATCACCTTAAAACTATCCAGTGCCTTGAGATCCTGGAGGGTGAGTGTAGGGGTAGAAATAGTTACAACTCTCTAGTTTCCAAATAAACATGCCTTTGTAGGTTAAGTGAAGTCACGTTAATAAACCAAAAAGCACTTACTATATGTGCCAAGCACTATCTAAGGACTGGAGATACAAATCCAAGCAAGCATGGCTATGCCTTCCCTCAAGGAACCTACATTCTAATATAGGAAGATAGCACATAAAAGGAAGCTGAAAAGTTGGGCGCTTGGAAGTGAAGTCTAAAGAGTCAGGAAAGGAAGTGGGAGAGGCATGAAGGTTGGCTGGCCTGGACACTTCCTCGAAATGGAGCTTCTGAGAGAAAGTCACTGGTGGAAGAGCAGGAGGTATCTTCCAAAGCCAGAAAGCAACTGCTCCAGAGAAAGGAGCAGAGCCAGAGAGCAGTTTACATTTTAAGAGGGGTAGGGATGGGAATAGGACCTGAGAAATAATTGATGTAGGAATGCAGGAAATTCCTAGATGAGGAAACTCCTTCTGCCTATGCAGCTTGGTACCTTCTCTGAAAATTACCTTAGAGAATTGCTTAGAGTACTAAGGAGTTGAATGACTTACCCAGGATCACACAACCAGGGTCTGTTGCAAGAGGGGTTTGAACCTAGGCCTCTTCCTGGCTCCAAGGAAAACTCTCTAGCCACCACATGAAAACATATAGATAATTACCAAATAAATATAAGGCACTGGAAAACTTTTGCAGGTGGGGGATCAGGAAACGTTTCATGTAGAAGTTGGACTTTGAGCTCAATTTTGAAGGAAAGTAGATATTCTAAGAGGTGGAAATGAGCAGAGAATGCATTCTGGGTGTGGGAGACAGTCAACACAAAGGCAAAGGGCCTGCAAGTTTGATTCTGAAAAGGGTTCAAGTGCCTGTAAATTCTGGACAGTGAATATATTGGGAAAGAGACAAGCCAGATGGGAGGTGGGGATCTTCCCATGCTGTCCTGACTAGCACTGTTTCCTCTCCTACTCCCAAATCCAGCTACCAGTACCCATATCAGTTTTGTTCCTGCTATCCAAGAAACGGATGGTACCCTGTTGTCCAAGGAAAAAACCTCCGCTTCTGACCGCTGATGAGCTTTCCCTCCAAATGGAGCCGCCTGAGAAGGAAGACTCCTCTTCTCTAGCAACTAAAGCACAGTCAGAGAGAGGTAAGGGCTTTACTGGTCCTTTAATACATTCAGAGCCATGAGGTGGAGCATCCTCAGATACCTTTCAGCAAAGCTGAGCTGAAATCCCAAGCGGAGGTACCCAGAGAAATGACTTGTTCTTAGCCTCAGAACCCTTTCTTGGGAAAAAGGGAAGAGTAACCAAGAGAACTGGAGGGTAGGAGACCCTCTTTCTAGTTGTGTGGTCTTGGTCATTTCAACTTTCTCAGTTTCCATTTCCTCCTCAGTAAATTAGTATAATAAGACTTGCACAACCTATATCACAAGATCGCAGTGCAGATTAAATGAAAAAATGCTGTATTGATATCCACTGCAGCAACTCAAAGGGACTTTACAGAAGAAGCTGATGGATGAGTCAATACTGGTAACAAAAGAGCCTTTTACTTGAAGCATTTAAGAGAAGGCCACTGGAAGCACCTACTTGATCGTGGAGGGGAAAGAAAGGTTTGAAAGAGAAGGGTCCTAGGGAAGTAATCACCTCCTACAATGGGATAGCACCTCTAACACAGGTCCTCTGTATTACACCAGCCTTTAGCCATATTACACCACCAATTAGGAGTCATATCTCCCTCTACAAATGCCCCAGCATGAAAAATGCCTCAGGCTTAGCTCAAAACCCAGGTTACAATCCTAGGAACCTTGTCCAATACCCGATAAATGGGACATACTCCTAGCAGAAGTGAGTCATATTGATCTTGACATGCTTACTAAAATTAAACCTGAAGATGAAAGGAAGTTGCAGTCAAATACAGGGATGCCTCACAAATTCTCCTTGGAGAGGCAAATAAAGGAGGTGACAAGACTGTTTTTATCATGTAGCCAAACGTTACATGAAATAATATTTTATGAGACATTAGATCACATCACCATTGCACTTACGTATTTAGAAAATTGCCACCCTAAAAAGTTACAGCATTTGGTGGCAACATCAATTACAGAGGATGAAGAGATGGAAAAGCTCCATAAACTATAAAACGACCCTCCAAACTGAATGATCAAAACTTTGACATTTAACTACTTCAGCATGCAGCATGAAACTAGACACAGAGAAGGGGAATGCAAAACACTGGGAAATGTGACTCAGGAGTAAGTAAGTTTTGAAAAAGGCTTAAGAACACAGAAGTCTCAAGCACATATCACAGTTTTGCTGTTGTTCAGTCATGTCTGACTCTCCATGACCCCATTTGGGGTTTTTTAAGCAAAGATACTGGAGTGGTTTACAATCTCCTTCTCCGGCTCATTTTACAGATGAGGAAACTGAGGCAAACAGGGTTAAGTGACTTGCCCAGAGTCACACCCCTAGTAAGTGTCTGAGGCCTTATTTGAACTCAGGAAGATGAGTGTTCCTGATTCCAAGCCCAGTGCCTTGTGCACTATGGTGCCACCTAGCTGCCCATATATCACATACTTTATTCTTTTTTAAACTTTCCTCTTTTTTTAGGAACTTAACCAGTGGTCTGCTGGAAAAATGTTTAGCAATTTGCTCTCCAAGAAAAAAAAATATACGCACAGCTTGCTTTTAAATTTAATCTCTATTATTAACATTTTCTCCATTACTCTTTTAAATCTAGACAATCAACCAAATTAGTCAAGACCTGATTTGTAGCCTTTGGTGGCATAAATGATGCCAATGAAAATTTAACAATCAGCTCTAGAGAATCTATTCAAGGTGGCTCCATCACACCCTTCCCAAACTAAGAAATATGAACATTTTATATATAAAGAAGAAAGGAGGGCTGTATATAAAGGTGTGAACTTCTATTATATACAGCTTTGTTTTTTAAAGATCAATTAAATTTAATACAACAATAATAAAACTCTTCTGCTTGTCTGAGTCTCCTTCCAAACTTTTTTCTATGTATGCTTTTAGTGTTTCATTGATTGATATTTTAAAAAATACATTTCTTTATTTTTACATGCAATAATAATCTGCCATTTCCATGACCTCCTCTACCCCCCTCCCTACTGCCTACTGAACAAAAAGAAAAAGAAAACCCTCATCATAATCAATTCATAGTTTATCAAAACAAATTCCTGTATGGGCCAGGCCTGATAATGTATGTCTCTCTGCATTTTAAATCCATCACCTCTCTGGCAGGAGGCCAGTGACATGTTTCATCTTCAGTCTTCTGGACTGGTGGCTTATCATCACATTGTTCAGAGTTCTAAAGTCATTCATGTATGATTTTCTCTATGATGTTACTGTCACTGTGTAAACTGTTCTAATTCTGCTCACTTTACTCTGCATCAGTTCATAGAAGTCTTCCTAGTTTCCTCTGAAACATCACTAGTTGCGGCAAACACACAAAAAAGGGAGGCACTGGATAGAATAAGCACCAAATAACATCACAAAAAGCAAAAATGAATATTTTTAACAGGCAGGAAAAGACTTATTAGTGATGTGAAATTCATTCCTAAATCATCTGCCTGTTTACATCTAGACCACTGACTAATTGGAGCAAATATAAAAACTAATACAAAATTAGAAAAAGAATTGAAAAGAGAAAAGGATATGGCACATAATTAAAGCAACTCTAGTCTGACATTTTAAAACAAGTTAATGACGCTAAAGAAAAAATGACAAATGAATGGAGGAATGGATATTGACACCTATCATAATCCTACAGAAACTGCCATCACAAGGAGAACGAAAGAGCCTAGATATGGGCTCAACCAATAAAGCATATGATCTTGCCAAGCAAAGAGCTCAGGGCAGCACCTATTTAGAATATAAATTAATTTGTAAAATCTTACCCAAAAGGATGGCAAAATATTATGAGCAGTTGCCTCATAAAACAGGGAAAAGCAGTGGAGAGAAAAGCAATTAAAAAAAAAAGTTTAACAAAAAAAACAAACTATGCAAAGTCATCCTAGGAGAATATTTAAAGATGAAACTGAGAGGGGGACAACAAATGGATAATTCTTTACTGTAAATAAACTCTTGTCATTATCACCAAAGACCATAAAGCTACCAAATGTGGGCTTTAACATCACCATGCCAGACGCGCTTCATGAGGAAGTAAAAATGGCACTGAAGAAAACAAGAAGGAGAAAAGCAGCGGGCCTAGACCAAATGGACGTAGAGGACGTCTGTCTTTTAAGGCACTGAAAGATCAATTTCCAAGGTGTCTAAAAAGAGGGAAAGATACACAGAAAAAAATATGGTCCTTATTATTATTGTTCCAAAAAAGTAACCAAGAAAATATCAACAAATAGCATCCCATCTATCTACTTTGTAATCTTTATAATCTACTTTGTAAACGTTTTAATGACAATAATCTATATGTACATTGTAGGAATCCTCGATAAAGGTAGAGAAAGGAATGGATAGGTCTTCATAACAGATCACATCCTTACTACTGCATAACTGATTGAAGGATGGAGCGGATACAAGATCCCTCTAGGCTTATTGTTTGTTGACTATAAAAAATATTTGATTAAGGGGAACAAAATGTCACCAGATGCCTCGAACTGAATGCCTTCCATAAATATGTCACAACCTTACAAGGTTACTGGAAAGATGTGACAACAGATAACTGGTGACCTTGTAGCTATTAATTCACATCAAGTGAAATATAAAGATATAGACAGCACTCTCCAAAGGGGTTCACCACTGCCATGGAGGAGGCTCAGTGCAGACACCAAACTGAAGAAGAATTCTTTATAGATAGTGGAGTCCTCCAGAATCTCCTCTTTGCAGATCACTATGTAGATTGTATCAAGCACAACAGGGCCTCCTAAATAAGATCCATTAATAACTCAAGAGAATTCAGCCCAACTATCCACATGGGGAAAAGGTGAATGAAGAGTACTTATTGCCCAGGCAATGATATGCAATTAGATGGACAACTTATGGACTACATCCATGAGTATGTTTATCTTGGACAGACACTGAAAATGGACAATGATCTGGGCCCAGAACTGAACGTGAGAAGGAGAGTTTGGATTGCCTGTAGGAAATTACATCATTCTTTTTTTAGGGACCCTGAAACAAAGGCCTATCTGTTTAACACCAACATTTTTTTTCTGGTGGTATATAACCAAAAATCTTGGAATATAACAGGCTCCAAAGAACTAAAGCTGAGAATCACTCAGAGGGTGATGAAGAGGTGCATTGTGAGGTAAGCAGCCAGAAACATTCTACCCAGGAGAAGCAAAGCAATTGATGTCATTACAGAAATATCAGCCTGAGAAAAAGTTGGGCCAATGACATAGTGAAAGTGAGAGATACCCAGTGAACAGCCTGATTGCCCTGCTGGTATCTACACAATATGAGGCCTATATAACGACTATACAATACAAGGCCTAAATAAGGAAAGTTTTCCAATAATTAAAGCTATTGAAAAGTAGAAGGAGCTGTTTCTGGAGGCAGCAGATCCTCCTTCCATCTAGGTCTTCAAGTAGATGCCAGCTCCAAACCACGCCACTTTCACTCTAGCCTTCCTCCCTACTTCTTCCCCGCCAGAAACTTGTAGTCTGCCCTTGGAACTATGCTGAGTTCTGATAAGGGAGCTTTGGCCTTATCTTGCCCAGATCCAGTCTTCCTCCTTACCTCCAAATAGCTCCAAAACATGAAGCAGTGCCTGTAGACCTCCCCTCTTCCAGTCCCTCCCCCTTATGTATTGTCTTCCCTTATTAGAATGTAAGCTTCCCGAGGTCAGGGACTATGTCTTTGCTTTACTTTGAATTCCTAGGGCATATAATAAGTTTTTAATCAATGTTGAATATATGTATCCAGATCAGAGGTTCTTAACCTGAAGCCCATGAACTTTTAAAAACAATAAATGTTGATAACTGTATTTCTATATAATTGGTTTCTTTTGCAATGCTATGTATTTTATTTTATGCATTTAGCTACATTGTTCTGAGAAGGGGACCATCCGCTTCTTCAGTGGTCCATAACACATAAAAAAGAATATGGTCTGTAACACAAAAAAGTCCCTGTTTTACATGCTTGTCAGGGATATTATAGAAAAGATTCCTATTCGGGTTGGACTAGATGACCTCTAAGGTTCCTTTCAACTCTAATAATCTCCGATTCTGCAATTCTATCATCACTGTTAAAAACAATCCCCCACTAAAGTCCCCTGCTATGCCTCCAATGCTTCACGAGTAATGTTGATCCAGTCCAAGCCCTAGCAGGTCCTACCAAGCTGAAATGGCTTTTAAGCACAGAACCATCTCTGGGCACTAAGTGCCTGTTGTTTGAGGCCCAGTGGAAACAGGATCACAAAAGCTCATTGCTAGATTGGTTACCAGATAACGGATATTTTCAGTCAGAGAAACTCATAAAGATTGGTTACAAAAGCACGGGAAGATTGTGATTCTATTAATGGAGGGGTTACCTGCATGAATATAATCATGTATACTTGAAGTATTCAAGTAGGTATTGATAATAGTAACAACACTGTCTCTTTTTTTTTAAAGATCTTTTTAAATTTTTTTTGGTGAGGCAATTAGGGTTAAGTGACTTGCCCAGAGTCACAAAGCTAGCGAGTGTTATGTGTCTGAGGCTGGATTTGAACTCAGGTCCTCCTGACTCCAGGGCTGGTGCTGTATCCACTGCACCAGCTAGCTTCCCTAACTCTTGATTACATGTATGGTCTTTGGAAAGTTGTTTAAACTCCCTGAGATTCGGTTTCACCCCAGCAGTGAGGGAGAGAAGGAATCATCTATGCTGACTTCCAGGCAGGCAAATAAAAGCTGGAGTGGGTAGATGTGGTCAGATTGGATACAGGTTTATCTCCTCTTTGCTTGATCAGCTCCTCTGCAGAAGGGGTTGAAAGAAGGACCAGAAGCAGGTAGATCTCTCTTCCCTCCTACACACCTCTCTGTATTTCATTCCTCCAGGGCATGGAAACCTGTTTATCTGTTGTCAAAAGAAGACTTTTCATGGTGCCTCTTGCTCCTTCTTTGCCATTCACATCACTGCAACCCTGGTGCTATTCATGACAGATGGAATCACGGTAAGCCAGGCTCAGGAGGGGCAGGGTCTAGGGTAAACCACAACCCCTGCAGCCAAAGTCAGACATCCAGGATTAGGCATTGAGGGAAGGAGGCTGTGTAGACAGATTTTCAAGGACAAAACTACCCTAGGTGCTCTCTGCTTCCAGGGGGCTCTCTGCCAACAAATAGGTCACAGTGAGGACACAGATAGAAAAAAAGCTGCCAATTTCCAATCTGACATGAGATGTGGGCAGAGAGGAAGGCATAAGAAGGATCCTGGGAAGATGGAAGCGTAGGTTAAACATTTCTAGGCTCAGGGAGACATCTTTGAAGAATCTGGTAGCCCGAATATTGGGTATGATGATGATGATGGTGATGATGGTAGTGGTTGTGGTGATAATGATAGTGATGGTGCTAGTGGTGGTGGTGATGGTGGTGGTGATGATGATGATGATGATGGTGATGATGACAATGGTGGTGGTGATGATGATGGTGATGACAGTAGTGGTGGTGGTGGTGATCATGATGGTGATGATGGTAGTGGTGGTGGTGGTGGTGATGGCGGTGATGATGATGACGATGGTAGTGGTGGTGGTGATGATGACGATGGTGATGATGGTAGTGATGGTGGTAGTGGTGGTGGTGATGGTGGTGATGATGATGGTGATGGTGGTGGTGGTGATGGTGGTGGTGATGGTGGTGGTGGTGGTGGTGTGATCATGACAATGTGATGATGGTAGTGGTGGTGGTGGTGGTGGTGATGATAAGCAGTGTGGTTCAGTAGATAGAGAGCTGGCCTTGGGGCCAGAAAGACCTAGATTCAGGTTCTGTTCTGACACATACTCCTTATGTGACTCTGGGCAAGATAAGTTAAACTTTTGGCATTCTAGGCAATTGCTGTTATTCCTCACTCCCAAACCTTGCCCTCTTCTAATCTTTCCTATTACTAGTAAGGGTACCATCATCCTCCCAGGCTCACTGGTACAGGGAGCTGCTTCACCAACAGTCCCCTATGCCAGTAAAATCATGGGCTTTCAGCAGTACTGATAGCCCATACTTAAATAGTGCTTTAAAGTTTACAGAGTGATTGATAAAGATTACCTCACTGGATCTTGACAATAATTTTATAAGGTAGGAGCTCTTATTACCTCCACGTTACAGATGAGGAAACTTGAGGCACCTGGTGTGGGGTACTAGTCAGACAAGACAGCAGCCTCATTCAGTTTGTACTGGTTTCTCCACAGGGTGAATATTCTGCCTTTATATACACCTATGCAGTAGATGATCCACTCTTCGTAGGACATAAGGCAGCTGGCTACCTTCCCAGCATCTTCTGGGGCTCTGTCACCATAGGCCGGCTCATCTCCATCCCCATCTCTTCTCGAATAAGCCCAGCCACCATGGTCTTCATCAACTTGGTATGTTCACAATACTGCAGTTCAGGTCAGGGGGCTGGCAATGACCACTTCCCTCCTTCCTCCAGCCTCCAAACCCCACCACATGCACAAACATTTGTGCAATTCTTCAGCAATGTTGAGATGGATATGTTGGGGCAGATGGGGAGTGGAGAAGAGGTGACTTAGCTATGAGACCCAAGGGAAGTCCTTTTACTTCTCTTTCCTGGATCCCTAAAATTACATCATTGCAATAAACTTCTCCCTAGCTATAATGTTCTCTGAACAATACTGGATTTGGAGTCAGGGGACCTTAGTTTGAAACTCAGCCCTGCCACCTACTGACTCTCACTTTGAGCAAATCACTTGCTCTTCAATGGGTCTCAGTTTCTACCTCGGTAAAAATGAGGGGGGTTGGGCTAGATACTCTTTAAGGCTCTCCTTCCACTCTAAATCCCATGATCTTTGACTCTACAAGAAGTATGTGTGCAAAACAGGGAGGGAATTCACACTGGCTTGCATAAGACAATTTACAGCATTATGAGCCTAAAGCTCATATCCTGCCAGGAAAGGAAGGAGGCATGTCCCTTGTCCTCATACATTTGACTTTCACACGTGAAATGCACAAATACCCAAATTGCAGGCTGTTTCTCTCTCTCTCTCTCTCTCTCTCTCTCTCTCTCTCTCTCTCTCTCTCTCTCTCTCTCTCTCTCTCTCTCTCTCTCTCTCTCTCTCTCTCTCTCTCTCTCTCCTTCTCTCTCTCCACAATAAACTTCAGGCAGACTCTGAAATGTGTAGAGGACCTAGGCCCAGGCTGGGATCCAGGTCACCTGAGACCTGGTGCCATCTTTGCCAGTGATTGGATAATTCACTGTCCACTCTGGGCCTCCATCTGTCTCCCCATCTCTTATATTGAGATACTATTTATCCTTCCCCTATCCCTCCTCCTACTCCCCAGCCTGCAATATGCACCTTTCACCTGACTATTGAAGGGAAAAGGAGCCAATAAATAGGGGATCGCCTTGACTAGAAAAGAACAGAGAAATACAAGGATTTATCATTCTGATTTGTTTTGACAGCTCAGAGATGAGCTTCAATGATGTGGCTGTGCCACAAGCAGCCTCAATGCCTTTTAAGGGATCTTCTCACCCTCTTGGCTCATACCTACCCACCCAGAAGATCTAGGGAGGTCTATGAATGGTACTCCCTCCTACTAAAACTGACTCCTCACCACAAACATAAAGTTCACAGTGTTATAAAGGAAATTGTTTTAATGAGAAAAAAATTTGAATCAGTCAACAAACGTTTAGTAAATGCTAGTCACAGGATTAGATGCTGAGGATACAAAGACAGAAATAAAACTGTCCCTCCTACCCTCAAGAAGCTTACCTTTAATCAGGGAAAATAGCATGTACCCGTGGAAATAAATACAAAATTGTGCAAAGTAAATAGAAGGTTATTTGTGGAAGCAAGAGGCACTGGCAGCTGGGGGTGGAGTAAGGTAGGGTGGGGTAGGGGAATCAGAAAAGATTTCATGCAGGAAGTGACACCTAAGCCGAGCCTTTGAAGAGAGCTAGGGATTCTCAAAGGAGATGAGGAAGATGTACATTCTAGGGATGGGGGCCAGCATGGGAGCTGGAGTGTCCTATATATAGAATAGTAAGAAGACCCTTTTGGCTAGAGAGCAGAGGGGATGAAAAGAATAATGAAAAGAAATAAGCCTGGATTATACAAATAAAACCAATGTAACAAAGATTAGAAGGAAAGCAGAAAATTGGATGGGGGGGGATTATAGACATTTTCTTGGATAAAGGGCTCATATAGAGAACTTGGTCAAATTTATAAGAGTCATTCCCCAATTGATAAATAGTCAAAGGATATGAACAGGCAATTTTCAATGAAGAAATCAAAGCTGTATATAGTCATATGAAAAAATGCTCTAAATCATTATTGATTAGAGAAATGTGAATTAAAACAATTTTGAGATATCATCTCGCATCTATCAGATCAGCTAAAATGATAGAAAGGAAAAATGACAAATGTTGGAGGGACTGTGGCAAAACTGGGAAACTAATGCACCATTGGTGGAACTGTGAACTGATTCAAACGTTTTGGAGAGCAATCTGTATTTTTGCCCGAAGAGTTATAAAACTATGTATACCCTTTGACCCCCCGATACTACTATCCCAAGGTCTTTTTGTGGTGGCAAAGAACTGGAAATTGAGGGGATGCTTATCAAATGGGGAATGGCTAAACAAATTGTGGTATATGATTATGATGGAATACTACTATGCTGTTAAGGATGAGCAGGTCGGTTTTAGAAAAAGACTTGCATGAAATAATGAAGAGTGAAACGAGTAAGACCCAGAGAACACTGTACACAGTAACAGCAACACTGTTCAAAGAATAACCGTGAACAACTAAATTATTCTAAATATTATAAATACTCAAGTCAACTATAAAGGATCTACAAAAGAAGATGCTATCCACCTCTAAAAAAAAGAACTGATAAACAGAAGGTTTTTCATACATACACATAGATAGATTAAATAGATACACACATATATCTGTGTTGGGGTTGGGGGGGAGATAGTTTGGAACTTAAAATGTAACCAAAAAAACTTATTTTTTTTAAAGAAAGAGACCTGGAAAGGTAGGCTAGAGCCAGGTTATAAAGGGCTTTAAATGCCTGACAATGAATAACCATCATCCTAAAGTTGAATATAAATGCCCAGAGATACCCCGGCCTCCTTCACATAGCCCTTTCAGTCTCCTTTGCTGAATCAGTACCCAGGTCAATCCCACTAATCATGAGTGTCCACCAAGTCTTGATCCTCTTCTCTTCTCCATTTGTGCCATCTCAATTTGTGATTTTATCATCTCTCATGAGTCAATGATTATTTCTATGCAAATGATTCCCAGATCACTTGACCTAGGCCTGCCCCCCCCTTTCTCTCCCTCTTTCTCCCTCTTTCTCCCTCTCCTGACCTTCAGTCCTGCATCACCAGCTGCCTTTTGTCCCTCTTGAGCTGGATGGATGACCTGAAAGCATCTCCAACTCAATGTCGACAAAACAGACACCACCATCTTCCTCCCACAAAAAAACAGCCCTTTTCCAGACTTTCCTATTACTCGCAAGGGCACCACCATCCTCCCAGTCACCAGCCTCATAACCCTGGTGTTATCCTCAACTGCGCTCAATTTCACTCCACATATTGGATCTAGTGTCAAATCTTGTCCTCTCAATTTCCCAGTATCTCTTGTATGTATCTTTGCCCCCTTCAGTCTACTCATAAAGCCACCACCCTAGTGCTGGGTCTCAGTGCCTTATGCCTGCATTATTGTAGTCACCTGCTGGCATCCCTGCCTCACCTCTCATCCTCCTCCAATCCATCCTCCCCTCAGATGCCAAAGTAATTTTCTTAAAGGGAACATGTCATACCCCTCTTTTAAAAACTCTGGTAGCTCCTGATAGTAGTAAGTAGGACTTTAGGGAAGGCTTTAAGGGGGAGCCAGGCCTTGAAGGATAGATAGGATTTCTCCAGGTGGAGTCAGATGGGAAGAGCATTTTGGGCAGAGGTGGCAGTGTGAGCCAAAGACACAGGAGAGAGGAAAGCACAGGGTGTACTTGAAGAATAGCAGAGAGTTGGGGTACATTTTGAGGTGCAGCTAGGTGGCACAGTGGATGGAGTGCTGGGCCTGCAGTCAGAAAGAACTAAGTTTAACTCTGACCTAGGATACTAACTAGCTGTTTGACCCTCTATCTGCCTCAGTTTCCTTATCTGTAAAGTAATAATAGCACCTAGCTCCCAGGGTTGTAGCGAAGATCAAATGAGATAATATTTGTAGAGTGCTTAGCACACAGTAGGCACTATATAAATGCTACTTATTACCTTTTGAATAAAGTTGTAGGGGAGGGAGAAGGAGGCAGGCAGGGTACAGAGGGGAGGTTATTTGCTGAAAGTAGGAGTCCAGTGAAAGGATTGTGTCGAGTGGGGAGGGGGGCGGGTGTTGAGTGGGGTGGAGGAAGCAGTTTGAAACCATCCATGTAAAGACTGAGAAGAAAATGACCAGAGCTCAATGAAAGTATTATCAAGCATTGGTGAGGGCCTGGCTGAAGCTAGAAAGCAGGCATCATAGTAGCTTGTGACTTTGAGAACGTCGATTTAGAGCTAGGAGGAACCTTAGGGGCCAGAAGAGGAAAAAGCTCAGAGAGGATGTGACTTGCTCAAGGTCACACAGGCAGTAAAAGAAGAGCAATAATTCAAACCCAGGCCCTCTGATGTCAAATCAAACATTTTTTCCACGGCCTCTCATTTTCTCCAGCAACATCCATCACTCAGGATTGCAGACAGAGAAAAGAGATGGGGCGACTCAGGGTTGAGGACAGCACAGGGCAAAAAGTGAAGCAAGTCAAGGAGAAGGGGATGATGGCGTTCAGGGAACTAGGGATGTTATCAGGGAAATGGCCAGTCATGAGATGAAGGTTGAAGAATAAAGCAAATGAAGCCCCAAGGGTGCCTGATGGATTGGGAGAACAGGGAGGGCCTAGGGAACAAGATATAAAGCAGGTCTGGTTGGAATAAGTTGGAACAAGTGGGGAATTTCAGAGATCAAAACATTGATTATTTCATGAGAGAGGTAACATGGTACAGTAGAAGGAATGTAGGATTTGGAGTCAGGGAACTGGAATTCAAGATTACCTCGACCAAGTCTCTTAACCTGTCTGTGACTCCACTTCTCAGTCTGTGAAATGAGGGGTTTAGACTAAGATGACTTGTAAGTCTGCCACCTCTAAAGCTATGGCATGCAATAGGGGAAGACGCTCCTCCCTCTTCCCTCTTCCCACTGGCAGTCTGGCCTCCTGTCACCTGTTGTTATTGTTTTTACAGAAATGTGGACAATACTTACTTAGAACTCATTTGGAGGGGCTTTCGTTTGGAACCTTTTCCGAATTGAGACAGAATGATTAGTTTTCCTAGGGAGCTAGACAATTAAGGATAGTTTAGTGAAACTTCAACGGGAGCAGCTGTGGCAGCCAGTGCCTGTAGTTTCCACTGCTGGAGCACGTCAGGCTGGTGGATTTCTTGAGTTTGAGAATTCTGAGGTCCAACAGGGCTAAAGCCCATATGATGTTCATACTAAGCCCAGCACTGATACAGTAAGTACTCCAGGAGTAGAAGGCTCCTTACCTAGCTAAGGAGGAGCAGAACAACCCCAGATGAAAAGAAGAAGGAGCAAGTTAAAGTTCCATGCAGATCCACAATAGGATCGGGCCTGTGAATGGCCTCTGCATTCCAGCTTGAATAAGGTAAAGTGGCCCAGTTAAGGAAAGAAGGAAAGAAGGAAGGGAATAAGGAAGGAAGGAGAGAGGGAAGGAAGAAACAAAAGAAACGAAGGAAGGAAGGAAGGAAGGAAGGAGAGAAGGAATCAGGAAAGAAAGGAAGGAAGGGAAGGAAGAAAGGGAATAAGGAAGGAAGAAGGAGGGAAGGAAGAGAGAAGGAAGGAAGAAAGAAAGAAAAGGAAGAAGGAAAGTAGGAAAAAAGGAAGGAAAGGAGAGAAGGAAGGAGGAAAGAAAGAAGGAAAGAAATAAAGGAGGAAATAAAGATTCCATGTGACAGCTGCATTCTCTGTGATCCCACTGGAAGGTATTGGGGTATACTGGAGAAGACGCTGGACTTACAGTCAGGAAGATCAGGATTCAAATCTCACCTCAGACACTTACTAGCTGTGCAAACTTGGGAAGGTCACTTAATCTCTGTTTGTCTCAATTTCCTCATTTGTAAAATAAAGGGCTTGGACCCAGTAGCCTCCAGCATCCCTTCCAACTCTAAATTTTGATCCTATGGTCTACCTCAAGAGTTCCCAGACAGTAACAGGAAATTTACTGATAGAGCTGGAAGTCTTACCTGGAAGGTCTCCAAGTTACTCACTCCAGTCACAACCCCCTCTCCATTATGGCCCTTGCTCTTGGCCTGGATGGATAACTTTTTTCCTGCTGGTAATCTTTCCTCCACTCTGCTCAGAGACTTTACTGTGAGTACCCCTTTTCTCTTCTCCTACAAAAGGACTTTCCATCACTCCGCTCAACCCTGCTGATCTTAAAATTCTGGAAGAAGTTTTAGAACCATTCATTCCTTTTCCTAAGAAAGTTTGCACTTTCAACAGGATTGCCTGGCCTGCCAAAGCAGGAAGCTGAGGAGTCTTGGATGGAATTGCAGGCAGTGTTGCTAATGACATTAAGAGAAGGCCATCTGGTGTAATGGAAGGAACACTGGTTTCGGAGTCAGAAGGGCTGGGTTCAAACTCCACACTCACTACTTAGCTAGGTGGTGAGCTGATGAAGAGGATGGATCACTGGATCTGAAGTCAGGAAGATCCTAGTTCAAATCTGGCCTCAGGCACTTACTAGCTGTGTGACCTGGGCATGTCACTTAACTGAGTCTGCCTCAGTCTTCTCATGAAGATAATAGCAACACCTACCTGCCAGGGCTGTTGTGAAGCAATCAAATGAGACAATGTTTGTAAAGCACTCTGCAAACTTTAACATGCTCTATAAATATCTGCTAGTTATTACCTGTGTGATAGGACTTCAGTTTCCTCATTGATAAAACAAAGGGACAAAGGGATTGGATTATATGATCACTAAGGTTCTTTCTGTCTTTAAATCCTCTAAATCCTGAACCCTCTAAATTTCTCAATTCTCCTTGGACATTTACACAAAAGGTGAAGTTCCCAAGCATGCCCACTAGGTGGCAGAGCGACTGCACACAGCTCCTCCCCACCTCCAGGGTGCTTAAGAATTGCTTGTGATCTGGGAGCCTCTGAGTGTTCCAGGAGACTCCCTCCCCAGATCAAGAAAGTTGACCGATGGGTGCTTGACTCAACAGAGGCTCAGATGGGGGGGTGGGGGGGTGGGGAGGAAGCTCCCACTTCTCCTTTGTTTACCTAAAGTTTTTACCAGCCTTTTCTTCCTTCTGCTCCATCTCATTTTCTACAGGTAGGAGTGGTGGCCACGTTCCTGGGTCTCCTCTTGGTCTACTACAACATTGTCTTCTTGTTTGTGGGGACAGCCTGTCTGGGACTGTTCCTCAGCAGTACCTTCCCTAGCATGCTGGCCTATACTGAAGACATCCTCCAGTATAATGGTGAGTTTTTGTGTAACCAAGAGGAAAAAAAGAAAAAGGAGAGAAAAAAACTCATCAAAACCAGTCCTCTTGCTTGACTTCCCAATTCTGGCCTCTGGTACTGCCATTCTTCTACTCTTCTAGGTAGGAAACTAAAAGGACTCTGATTCTTCCTTCTTCTTCCTCCTCTATATCCACCCTGTCAACACATTCTTTTCATACATCTCTTAAATTCACCCAATCCTCTTCATTCTCACCACCAATACCTTGGTCAAGCCCCTCATTCCTGAACTACAAGCTTCTAGGCTTCACTCCCTTTTAATAAATCCAGAGAAGTGTCATTTTGTAGAAAAAACAAACAGACTCAAGTTCACATCCTGACTCTGATGCTTGCTGTCCCAGTAACCATGGGCAAATCATTGTTCCCAAAGCCTCAGTTTCTTTAACTATAACCTCTCCAGAAACTGTTGAGATAATGCTGCGGCTCATTTAAATCTAATTCACAAGCAAGTCAAGACATCACCCTTGTGACATCACTGGTACTCTCTGAAAACAAAGGATGAAAAACCAACCAACCTTAAAGAGCTGTATAAATGAGAACTATTATGTGCTGGCTACGTAAATGTTTCCAAGACTTCGGCTATGCCTGGGAGCTACTGTTTCCCAATGCTTCCTCACTTACAACAAGTACATCAAGCCTGAATTCCTCTGCTTGGCTTTCGAGGGGCCTCATAACCTGGCTCCATCATCTCACCAACCCAGCCTTATTTCTTCCTGCTCCCCAACATATACCCTTCATTCCAATCAGCTTGGTTTCCTTATTGCTCATTGCACATAGTAGGTGCTTAATAAATGTTTGCTGAGTGAATGAACAAGTACGTGAATGCCACTGGTATACACCAAGCTTCCTTCTCCTTGTCCATGCCTTTGTTCATACCATTGCCCACAACTGGAATGTCCTTACCCTTCTTCCAAATCAAAATCCTACCCATCCTTCAACATGCAACTAAAGTCTTCCTCCAGATAGGTATCAGTTTCTCCAAAGGGGATCCTTACTCTCAGAATAGAATTGTAAGTCCTAGCTGTTTGGGGGCCATGGCGTCTTATCATTGTTTCTTTGATGTTGTGATTCCAAAATCCCCTTTACTGCTCCCCTCACAATAAATGGCTACTATTTATTTTTATAAGTTAATTAAGATTAATCTTGTGTTGAAAATTTCATAATACCCTTTCAGTTAATTGGAGACACACTGAAGAGTTGTAGAACCAGTAAAAAGATTAGTAATTTCTTTGGAAGGAAGAGTGGGGAGGAAGCACAGGCTGGCTAGGAGGGAGACAGTCAGCAGCAACCATATGTGATAATGACGTAAGGAGAACCTAGATCACTGAAATCCAAAGATGATCTCAAAAGGTAATTTTACCTCTTACCTCCTCTCCAACCAGCTAAGTTAGGACCCAAGTGGCCTTGAGTTTTGACTAGGTAGTGTGGTACCTAGTTAGATTTCTATCCAAAGGATTCCAAATCTGGAGACAGAAGGGACCTCAAAGGCCATCAAGACCTACTCTCTCATGGAAAATGAAACCCTAAGGAGGTTAAGTGACTTGTCCAAGGTCACACAAGTATTAAGTTACAGGGGCAGGATTTGACCCTATTATTCTTTTCACTGTACCACCCAGCTTCCTAGAGGACTTAGATTCAAATCTCAACACCGCCATTTAGGTCCTTTGTGACTTTGAATAAGTCATTCCACCTTTGGGGCCTCAGCTTACTCATGTATAAAATGAAGAAGTTAGACTGAATTGCCTTTGAGATCCATTCCAACTCAAAAAAAATTGGGGGGGGAGAATTGGGGTTAAGTGACTTGCCCAGGGTCACACAGCTAGTAAGCGTCTGAGGCCAAATTAGAACTCAGGTCCTCCTGAACTTCAGGACTGGTGCTCTAATCCACTGTACCACCTAGCTGCCCCCAGCTCAAAACTTTTATGTTATTCTTCTTTGAATTTTCCTTATTACCCCTGGTGGGAGTACCCCCAAAGTCAAGGAGGAGGCTGGTGCAGAATTGTTATATTTCAACTGTGAAGTGCCCTGGGATATAGTCACCCAGCCCACCCCTCCCATTTTACAGATGAAGAACCTGAGACCAGAGAGATTATGAAGTCACAGAGGTAGTGAGTGGTAGAAGACACACTGGAACCCAGCGTGGATTCCAAAGTGTCTGAAGCAGGATTTGAACCCAAATCTTTCTGATTCCAAGTCCAGCATCATCTATTATATCAAGTTGTACCTGAAGCACTTGAAACGTATGTGCTTGGAACTATCAGACGATGTAAATGACAGAAGATTCTAAGTCTCAAATGAAAGGTATACGTTATAAGGCCAACAGGAACTCCGAGAAGGGAGAGGCAGCAGCCAGAGCAGATGTGAAGACCCGAGTGGGGCCTTGAACAGTGGGCAAGTTAGACAAGCAGAGTATGAGAAAGGGCATTGCAGGCAAGGGAAATAGAACTCAACCTTCATTAAAGACCTACTAGGTGCCGAGTGTCAAAGGAGATGCAACAATAAATACAGCCTCAGTTTCCTTCTCTGTAAAATGAGCTGGAGAAGGAAATGGCAAACCACTCTGGTATCTCTGCCAAGAAAATCCCAAATCGGGTCACAGAGAGTCAGACATGACTGAAATGACTGACCAACATAAGTCTCCTGGCCTCTCAGTGTCCCAGGCAGCTTTCTAAGGCTATGTCCACAAACTAATTATTGATCTACCTTGGTAGAAGAAGCCTCTATACTGTGCTCCCTGCATTGATAAAAATCACAAGTTGGGCCTAAGAAACAACAACACCTTACATCATGCTTATGTCTATACCTGTTATATCTCTCTTATTAACTACTAATAATAACAACTAACACTTATATAGTACTTACTATGTGCCAGGCTCTGTGCTAAGAGATTTAAAATTATTATCTCATTTGATTCTCAGCAACCCTGGGAGGTAGATGTTATTATTATCCTCACTTTAGAGATGAAAAAACTGAGGTTAAGTGACTTGCCCAGGGTCACACAGCTAGTAAGTGCCTACAGACAGATTTGAACTCGGTTCTTCCTGACTCTAGGACTGGCACTCCATTCACTTCTCCACATAGCTTCTTGAGGGAGAGATTATCATATTTTCAGCTATATCATCTCCAGCATCTAGCAAACACTACCTTGCTTAGAATATATTTAACAGGGGCAACTAGGTGGCACAGCAGATAGAGCACTGGCCCTGAAGTCAGAAAGACCTGAGTTCAAATCCAGCCTCAGACCAACCACTTGACATTTACTAGCTGTGTGACCCTCAGCAAGTCACTTAACCCCAATTGCCTAAAAAATTAAAAACAAAAAAAGAACATATTTAACAAACATCTATTGAGAACTGAATTCACAGACATGATATTTAGAAAGATAAATTGAGACCAGATTGTGGAGAGCCTTGAATGCCAACTTAAGGCATTTAGACACTATTTTATAAGCTATGGGTGATCATTAAAATTTTTTTTAATTGGAAGTAGAATGAAGAAAAACATATAAAAGTATGGTCAAGGGAACAGAGGGAGCCCAAAGTCCCTGTCTCATCCTGCACTAACTGTTGACTTACTCCCTCTTACTCCTACCAAGAGCCTCAGAAAGTACAGGGCTAGAAGCAGGGCACAGATGCAGGTGCTTCCCCTTGCACAAGGAGATTCCCTCCCTGCCTCTCTCTGTTATGGGGACAACAGGAAAGAGAAGTGAATACATTGCTACAATGGGTATTTAAGAATATTAGGAAGTTGGTAGAAGGGCTGTCAGGAAAGAGAAGTGAATACATTCCTACAATGGGTATTTAAGAATATTAGGAAGTTGGTAGAAGGGCTGTCAGAAGTTAGCCTTGGAGCTAGGAGTGTGGAAATAGGAAGGGTAAACAGTCCTTCTGTTCACTGTCAGCTAAGCAGAGGTGTGAGTGCCTAGGAGCTCCCAGCACAATGGTGCCTGCCCTAGACCTCCTTCCCCTGTCTGGATATCATGGTATGTGTGCGGGAGTGGGGTGGGGAGGGGGTAGAGTCTGCAGCACAGACCAGGACCTTAGTGACAATGAGAATAATGATCAGATGCTGTCTTATAGTGAACACAGCTGAACCTAATGCCCAGTTTCCATTTCTGAAGAATGCCTACCCCAAACAATCTAACAATTACTAAATGCCTTTTTTTTTTCATCTTTCTTCCTGTGCCAGGCTGTGCAACCACAATGCTGGTAACAGGGGCAGGAATTGGTGAGATGACACTCCAACTGTTCATTGGCTCGGTATGTGGGGGCAGGGGGAGAAGAGGGTGCCTGGGCAGTGAACCTCAGGAAAGGGCTGTGATGTAGTGGAAAGGCTCAGGACTTGGAGTCAGAAACTGGGTTTCCAATCCTGGCTCTTTCACTTAATTGCTAGCTGTGCGGCATTGGGTGAGTAATTTAACTTTTGGGGATCTTGGCTTCTTCGTCTATCATATTAGTTAGCATTTATGTAGTGTTTTAAGGTTTGCAATGTGCTTTACATATGTAATCTCATTTAATGATTCCCAAACAAACCTTTGGGGTAGGTGCCCACATTTTCTAAACTGAGCTGAGGTTAAGTGACTTGCTCAGGGTCACACACTCAGATCATCCTCCAAGTCCATCGGCCTGTACACTGCGCCACCTAGCTGCCTAAATGAAGCAGCTGGGCTAAAGGATCTCTAAGCGTCAGATTCTATGATACTCTATGGCAACCAGTCACCTTCCCCCGATTTCTCACTCACAGAGTGAGCAAGACTCTTCTTTGCCCACCGCAGTGCCCATCTATCACTGCTGTGCAAAGGCGGGGGGGGGGGGGCGGAATCAAGTGCTGGTGGGAGGCCAGAGTGAAGGGAGAACCTTGGGAAAGACTAGGCAGCCGGGAAGGCAGTGGTGCCATGGGAGGATACCTCGGAAAGAATGCTTTCACTTTTTTTCGATTTCATCCACTTTCACATGTTATGACTGCCCTCCGGAACTCTCTTTAAATCACTCCTTGCCGAGCACCTAGGCCACTGTCCCAGAGGGACACAGGCTTCCTGACTCAGCTCCTGTTCAGAGATCAATCACCAAACAACTCTAGTTACCTTCAAACAAACTAATGGGGCAGCTACGCAGCACAGTGGGTAGAGCTCCGGCCTTAGAGTCAGGAGGACCTGAGTTCAAATCCGGATTCAGACACGACACTTTGATGCTTACTAGCTCTGTGACCCTGGGCAAGTCACTTAACCCCAACTGCCTCACCAAAAACAAAAACAAACTCTAATCCCACTAATTCATCAATAAAGTGTGTGGGGGGGAGGGGTCTCCTTTCCCTCTGCTACAGTGGACAAGCCTGGGGCAGCCTCAGGGCAGCTCTCAGACATATCAGACACAGTGTGATTAGATGAGGGGTCATGAGGTGTGTGTGGGGGGGTGGAAGGTAGCTGGCACATTGCTGTAAATAGTGGATGGACAGCTTGGAGCAATGAAAAGAAAATGACATTAGATTCACAAGACCTGAGTTTGAGTCTGGGACCTGATGTTTCCTAGCTGTGGGACCTGAGCCTCCACCCAGAAAAAGAGGGATGAAGAATAAGACTTGTACATCATAAGAATAAGCCCTACTTCCCATAAGTCTTAAAATGAAATGTAAATGTATCCAACTTCTGGTTCTAACACTTAACCAGACAAGGAAAAGTTAAGGCACTTGGATGGCATAGTACAGACAGCGCTAGACCTGGAGTCAGAAAGGGCCACATACAAATTCTGCTCCAGACACTTATGAACTGAGTGACCCTAGGTAAGTCTTAACCTCAGCTTTCCCATCTACAAAATGGAGATGGTAATGGCATCAGGGGACAGCTACATGGCCCAGTGGATAGAGCACCAGCCCTGGAGTCAGGAGGACCTGAGTTCAAATCTAACCTCAGATACTAAGTAGCTGCGTGACCTTGAGCAAGTCACTTTGCCTCATCTGTAAAATAAAATAAAAAAAAAATAGGAGAAAGAAATGGCAAATCACTCCAGTATCTCTGCTAAGAAATCCCCAAATAGGGTCACAGAGAGTCAGACATGACTGAAATGACCGAATGACAAAGATGGGGAATAATAAGGCTTGTATGGTCTACCATGACAAAAGCTCTCTGCACACCATAAAGTGGTCTGGTCACTGTGATTTTTAATTGATTGATGGGAATGGTTTTCATGCAGTGAACTGGGGCCCATGCTAACAAGTAGAAGGAACTTCAGGAGGTGTCTTGGACCAGGTGTGTGGGGGTAGGACTTCTGTCCTCTCTGGGATACTCACCTCTAAAAGCAGGGCAATGTTCTCTGCCAGCCCCTATTGCTTCTGTTAGGGAAATGAGCCTGAACTTGACTGAAAATTTCATCAAAGGCTCAAGAAAGATGTTTCTTCCCACGCAACTTCAGGGCCTACGTTTAAAAGGCTCTTGTGTCTGTGTGTTTTCCCGTTGGCAGATTATCCAAGTGCTGGGCAAATACAGCTTCCTGGTCTGTGGCGTGATCTTTGGCTGCCTGGCTTTTACCTTCTACATCATGCTCCTGTTTTTCCACAGGATATACTCCAGGCCCTCATCAGGTAAGGGAAGGATCTATTTTTCTACAAGAGGAGGAAAGCAGAATGGGAGGGCAGCAGGGCTCTTAGCACACCATAGCTAGTACCCTGTTCCAAGCAAAATGCAAGGAAATGTTTATTTTTCTGCTGTTTCCTTTCCCCCTCTTCCTGGCTTACCATGCAATTGTTGGTGTTCGGGGGAGCAAGGCCAGGTTAGGCTAATGCATGCTTTCTCAGCTGAAAAAAAAGAAGTGGGGGGAGGAGAGACCATCAATTGTGAACTCAGCTCAAGGAACCCCACCCTGATAGAGAAATGCCTGGCCAAGAAGCTGTCCCCAGCCTGCTCAGGGCACCAGAAGCTGGTTCCCGCCTCTGCTGGCTGGAACTCATCCCAGGGGCCTAGTTGGCTGTCTCTGTGCTGTTCAGGGACTTGACTCTAATCCAAATCTTGTTTTCATAAAGAAAAACTTCTACGCCAAGTTGCAAAGAAAAGCTCCTTCAGGGCAGGAATACCTCCCAAGAATAGCCTCAGTCTCTGAGACCCCAGGCAGGGGGAGTCCCTAGAGCTATTTTTTCAACCCTGCACCCTCACATGCCCTTTGACAGAGTTCTCAAAAACCTCCCCTCTCCAACCCACCTCCAAGTTGGAGTGTTGCAGCCAGTTCTTGGGAGGACGCACTAAAACAAAACTGCTTCCCTCTATCATCCAGTTCAATTCATCAAACATTTAACAATCAGCTACCTCATGCAAGGCACTGTGAGTGAGTCAGGAAGACCTGGATTCCAAACCTGCCTTATTAGCTAGGTGATCCTGGCACTGAGCCTCAGTTTCCTCATCTGTAAAATGAGGGAGATGGCAGGTGAGGTTGGACTAGGTGGCCTCTGTGGAAAAACAGGCATGCTAATACATTGTTGGTGGAACTGTGAACTGGTCCCGCCATTCTGGAAAGCAATTTGAAACTATAGCCAAAAAACCATTAAACTGTACATACCCTTTGACTCTGCAATACCCCAACTAGGTCTATATCCCAGGGAGGTCAAAGAGGGAAAGGACCCATAGGTACAAAAATACTTAGAGCAGCTCTTTTTGCGGTGGCAAAGAATTGGAAACTGGGGATTTGCCCATCAACTGGGGAATGGCAGGACAAATTATGGCATATGGTTGTGATGCAGTGCTATCGTGCTGTAAGAAACAATTAGAAAAAGCTGGCAAGATTTGTATACTCTAATGCAAAGTGAATAGAACCAGAACAATTTACTCAGAAACAATAGTGCAAAGATAAATCAGCTGTGAAAGACAGTAACTGATCAACACTGACCGGCCACAACTCCAGGGACTCATGAAGACAGAGAACTGATGGACTCAGATTGCAAACTGAAGCATCTTTTTTCTTTTTCTTCTTCTTTTTTTTTGGGGGGGTGGGTATGGATAATGCAGAAATCTAGTTTGTATGACTACACATACTTGTAAGGGGTTCCACTTTTTTTGCCTTCTCAATGAATGGAGGAGGGGGAGAAAGAAGGGAGAAAATCTGAACTGAAAATAAAATAAAACTGAACTTTCAAAAAAGGAACCAGGACAAGGAAGAAAAGCAAAAGGCTTAGATAACCCCCCCCCAAAATAGGTCACCAATTGCCTACTGACCAGAGAACTGACTGTATAACATTATCTGTTTTTTCCCTTTGTAGTCTTGACCTTGGACAAACCACCAGGGATATAAAGCTCTGAAGTCTACCAGCAGTAAAAGTCAGGTGAAGAAGACAAAGGCGACCCCTCCCCCAGAAGCACAACACAGACCCCCACCCTTGTTTGATAATACTGGAGGAGAAGTCTAAAATATTATTTAAAATCGCTCCTCTGGTATTAGGTTCAAGAAAAAATAATTTAGATCAACTCTAGGACACTGGCTTCTCTTAGGGCAAATCAACACGAGCCTATTCAATTCCCCTTCTTTGCCTTCACACTGCTAAGAGTTGCCTATCGAGTCCAGATGTGGAGAAAAGGAATACACGTACACATACAATTCTGATGACTCCTGGACTGAACCCTTAGGGTTTTGGCATTCAATCTTGGATACAGTCTGAAAGCAATAGAGCCAAGCTTAAAATATGATGCTCAGTGACACCTGACAAATGTAGATAAATGTGATATTTTAAGTTAACCTAGATGAACCTCGGGTTATTTCCTCATGCACTACACCCCAAAAGGAACTACTGTGCTTTTCTTGGGACCAATCCAAAATCTAGGGGATTCTTGATTTTTATGGTCCCCCAAAACTCAGTGATTCATCTTCACTGTGAAATTTTGGAAAGAAAGTTGAATCTTGATGGCTCTAGGATATGAACAATCTATGACTAGTCTAGGAAAACATAAGAGTGGGACAATGTCATGTACTCTGTTTTCCTTTTCTGCGTGGATGTGTGGGTGGGTGTATGTGGCTGGATATCTACAGAATCAGCAGAAATAGCAGTGAGAATTTTTCAAAACAACTGTCAGGCTTAGTGCTTTTACCTCTTCTACCTAGAAAAAACTCCCTCTCTGCTCCATGTGAAGAAGGTATAGGGCTCAGCCAAGGAAAGGAAAAAGCTGGACTGTCTGGTACTTTTAAAAGCTGTGCCCTATACGAAAGTAGTGACTGGAGAGGCAAGTTATGAATACCATATGGAGTTGACAATGACAATGACAATGATAATGAGAGAAGGGAACTATCTCTCTTTACTTTTTTTTTTTAAAGAAATGGATACCAGTGACTGATTACATATTGGTTTATTTGCACTTTCTGGATGCATCAACAGGTGTGTGTGTGTGTGTGTGTGTGTGTGTGTGTGTGTATATACATCTACATATGTTTATATATACATATATACTTTATATATAATATACATATGATATGTATGTTTAAACATATGTTTATATGTATATGTAGGTGTGTCTACATACAAACATTATTATTAAAACTACAGTGATTATCAATCCACGATCAGGTTCACTCAATTCAACAAGCATTTTAAAAGGACCTACTACATCCCAGCCACTGTGAGGCATACAGAATCAAAACATGCCTTCAAGGAGCTTACATTCTGCTGAGAGGAAAAAAATAGGTATGCAAATAAGTAAATACAATATATTCACAAGGTAATTTTGGGAGAGAAAGGAGAACACTAACTGGGAAGGATCAGGAAAGGCCTCACTTAGGAAATAGCACTGGAGCTAAGCCTTGGAGGAAGCTAGAAGTTCTGAGAAAAAGAGGTGAGGGAGGGAGGAGGAAGAGCATTTCAAACATGGAAGGTAGCCTATGCGAAGGCACCAAATGGGAGACTGAATGCCATCCCATAGTTTTGTCTGTGATTCACAACTATTACAGATTGGCCAGTTCAACCCAAAGAATACATATTCTACTTGACTGTTGTTCATATGCAAGAAATGGGCTCAAAAGGCATTTATTACGAAAAAACAGAGCTAGCTTTCTGAAAAATGGGTTACTTGGGGTATAGCATATCCTCTTACCAGAGGGCAGTTAAGGACATCCATGCTAAAAAAAAAAATTTGTCCATGTAATAAGTCCTAGGTTTCAATCTAACTTAATTGTCCAATCTAATTGTAGTGAAAAGCTGCCCTAGTCAACAGAAAACAGCTCTACTTTGCTCATTCAATTAAACGCTCATTCAATTAAACTGTAGCATGTTTTTATGTTATGTTTCAAGGGAGGAATCAGGAGCAAAATAAAAATGTCACTTGACCAATATGGGATGGTTGTAATCTATACCTTACAGGATCATAGACTTACAGCTGAAAGGGACTTTAGAAGTCATGCAGTTCAACCTCCTAATTTTATAGGAGGCTGAGGCCCAGAAAAATGAAATAGGACTTGTGTGAGGTCACACAGCTAAAAAGTGGAAGACGTGGAATTTAAACCCAGGTCCTCTTTCTCCAAATCCATCTCTCCTTCTACATCTAAGGATGCTCTTATTGAAAAAAAGGCCACTCAGGCGGTTTGAGCTCTGGGTGTGTCATCCCGGGGCATAGAGTGTCTTAATCATTTCATAACCTCCAAAACAAAGGCTAACTTTCTTATTGCCACAGGATAGGACTCTCACATTCTATGAACTCAGATGGTGGTGTTTCAGAGGCAGGAAAAATCCTTTTAGGTGCTAGCTTGATATTGCCTCTCTTCCTCCGAGTGTAATTAGAGGGATTAGAGAGGCGGAACCCATCTTTCAGAAACAGCTAGTGGAAACCTCTAATGGTGTCCCTGGTTCTGCTTTCCTTTTTCCCTCTAGAGTTTGAAATACAGCTGCTAGGGAGTCGCTACATCCAGTAGACTCTTTCTTGCTCCTTCCTGGGTACTCTGGACAGAAAGCCATCTTTTCATCACAAGCTCAAAGCTACAAACTGGAGATGAGGTGTGCCTACAGCAACTCCTGATGATCAACATAATAAGAGCTATCATCTACACAGCACTTTGAGAAGTGGGCAAAACACTTTGTTATCTCAGCTGATTCACCCAACAACGCTATGATGTAGGTGCCATTGTTATCCCTATATTACAGATGAGGAAACTGAGGCTGAGACAAGGCAAAATGAAGTCTTACCCAGGGTCACAAAACTAATTAAGTGTCTGAGTCTGGATTTGAACCCAAGTCTACCTGACTCTAAGCTTGATGATCTATCTGCTGCACCACCCATCTGTTTCATACTTCCTGATAATGGTAAATTCTAGGAATATGTAGAATCATCAAGCTATATGAAGGGCTACAGTGACCTCCTTGATAATTCCTCTGCTGCTCCACTAGTATGGTACACTAGAAGGATTTGCAGAATCCTAGAGAGTTTTGAATTTAGAGAATCATAAGACCTGGATTTAAATTCTGCCTTTGCCACTTAACTATCTTTATGACTTTGGGCAAGTCATTTTCAATTCAATTCAATAAGAGTTTATTAAGCAGCTCATTTATGTGCCAGGTCCCAGGCATACAAAGAAAAAAGCAACAGTCCCTGGGCTCAAAGACCTTATTATTATTATGGGAAAAACTAAATAAAGATATATACAAAGTAATTTAGAGCACTCTGGAAAAGCTTTCTATAAGAGATGGAACCTGAGCTAAGCTTTGGGGTTTTGTTTTTGTTTTTAATTCATTTAGTATTTTATTTTTCCCCAGTTGCATGCAAAAACAACTTCTAACATTTATTTTTAAAACTCTGAATTACAAATTCTCTCCCTTCCTCCCTCCCTACCATTGAGAAGACAAGCAATTCAACATAGTTTATACACGTGTAGTCATGCAAAATAGTTCCATATTAGTCATCTTGTGAAAGAAAACACAGACCCAAAAAAAAAATCTCAAGAAAAAGAAAGTTAAAAAGTATGCTTCAATCTATATTCAGACACCATCAGTTCTTTCTCTGGGGATGGACAGAATTTTTCATCATAAGTTGTCTTGGATCATTGTATTACTGAGAATGGCTAAGTCATTCACAGCTGATCATACTACAATATTGCTGTTACTTTATACATAGTACATTTGCATGTAAGCCTTTTCAGATCTTCCTGAGAGCATCCTGCCCATCATTTCTTATAGTACAATAGTATTCTATCATAATCACATGCCACAACTTCTTTAGCCATTCCCCAATTGATGGGTATCCCTTCAATTTGCAATTCTTTGCCACCAGAAAAGAGCTGCTATAAATATTTTTATACATATAGGTCCTTTTCATTTTTGTTTTTTTTTTTATTATCTCTTTTGGGATACAGACCTAGTAGTGTTATTCCTAGGTCAAAAGGTATGCATGGTTTCATAACCCTTTAGGCATAGTTCCAAACTGCTGAGCTAAGCTTTGAAAGAAACCATGGATTCTAAAGGGCAAAGTGAGGTGGGAGCAAGTTTCTGGCATAAAGGACAGCCTCTATGACGGCATGTAAGTGTTAGACAGACTGCCACATACAGGGGATAGCAAGGAGACTGGTTTGGTTGTGCATGAGGGAAAGTAATATGCAGTCAATCTGGAAAGATGGGTTGGAACCAGATTATGAAAGGTTTTAAATACCAGACAGAATAATTTGTCTTTTATCCTAGAAGGAATAGGGAGCCACTGAACCTTCTTGAGGAAGGGAGTGATATGGTCAGACCTGCACTTTGGAGATTTCAATTTGGCAGCTGTATGGAGGACAGACTAGAGAGGGGAGAGATTGGGGCACTGAGGCAAATGAGGATAACTGCAACAGTAAAATTGAGAGATGGTTAAAAGAGTGGTAGCTGTGTGAATGTAGGAAAGGTGACAGAAAGAAGAGATGTTGTGGCAGTGGAATCATCAGAACTTGGCAACTGTTGAGAGAGAGAAGGAGGGAAAAGTAGAATTGAGGGTGCCTCTAAGATTGCAAATCAATCAAAAAGTATTTATTAAAAGCCTCCTATGCACCAGGCACTGTCACCCTAGGTAACTGGAAGGGTGGTGCTGCTCATGACAGAAACCAACAAGTTTTGAGGAGTGAGGGCTTTTTTTTCCCTTTTAATTGGAGGGAGGGGATAGTTGTTGACAAATTTTGTTTCAGACACACCAAATTGGAAATACCTATGGTCCATCCAGATAGAATGTCTAGCAGGCAGTTGATGAGACCAGAGTGGAGATCACAGGAGAGAGATGGGAGTGGATATATAGATTTGGAAGCTATCTGCATACAGATGATACTTGAACCCATGGTCGATGATGAGATCACCAAAAGAGCATAGAAGATTGTCTCTCTGGATCTGTTTTCTTACCTACATCATCTCTAAGGTGCCTTCTAGTTCTACATTCCTCTAAGTGTGGAGTGGCAGAAAAAGCACCAGGTTGGGAACCAAGGAAATGGGGTTCTAATCCCAGCCCTCCCATTAACTCACTCCTCCGTAAAGCCTATCTACTCATCTACAAAATAAGTAGGGCTATATCAAAGGCGTCATATGGGCCTTATGCAGCCCACAGCACTCCTAAATGCGGCCTGAACCAAAATAAAATGTAATTGGGAAATACTTAATAAAAGACAAAAATACAATAAAACATAGATAATACTACATTTTACAACTAAGTCAATACACAGCCTTCAAGGATCCTTATGCACAGTTCAATGGTCCCTGTTTCTATTTAAGTTCGACACCACTGGGCTAGATGACCTCTTACGTCCTCTTAAGACCCAATAGCATAAATGAAAACAATTAGTATCACCCCAGTTCACTTTAATGTCATGGAATTGCCATTATTTTCTCATCCTTTCAAAGGCCGTTTCACTTGGTCTCCCTTCAAACACTAGATATATTAAAAGTATGATGATTCACCATCATCTTTCACTGTCTTAACATTGTAATTGCTAGGGATGACCACGTATCTAGTTTAGTCCAATAGGAGTGTTATTTTAGGTTACCAATGTTTGCTGCCACCAGATGCGGCAGAGACAAGTTGGACTAACATTTGTTGAACTAAATTGGCTGTTAAACAGTAAAGTGCTACACTAATATAAGCTACTAAATCACCCCAAAGAAATATTGACTACATCCTATTCTTTTGCTTTGCCATCTTTGAAATGATGGTGTGATCAATTAATTCCACTTTCCCTAAAGTAGATCATCCAAGTTCTGTATAAGCTCAATAACTTCAGATACCGCCTGCTCCAAGCCTTGGTTTCTATTTCAGTGAGTACATAGAAGAGATGATGTTTCCTCAATTAGAAAATTACAGCTATGACTGCCTATAGGGACTAGAACAAAAAAATCTGAATGGACATCAAAAAATCCCACTTAGGTTTTAATAAGAAAAAACATGGAGTAGAGCTTTCATATACTCACATACACTATGCAACTCATTATTTGTTTTTCTAATTACTGCTACAAATATTTTTTGTGATACTGATCACTCTCCTCCCCTCAAGTCTACTTAAAAATTTTAAGACGTCCAATTCACATCCAACGTCTAATGGAAAGACCCGAATGACATTTATTAAGTACCAACTAGATGCAAGGCACCGTGCTGGGGTTTAAAAGATGAATGAAGACACAAATCCTTTCCTCAAGGAATTTCCAATTTTGTAGGAAGGTTACAAGTTATAGTATAATGAGTGTACAGGAAAAGTCTAGAGTAGTATGAGAGATAACTGGATAACATATCTGGGGGGATCAGGAAAGACTTCATGGAGAAAGTGGCATTTGAAGAGGCTTTTAAGAAAAATATTTAAAAAGGTAGTTATATGGGAAGAAATCATTTTCATCATGGAGCACTGCCTACCTAAAGCATGAAGCAAGAGTAGGAGGAGGTGGGTTGAGACCATGAAAAGTCGAGTAGTCTAATTTGACTGGAATATAGGGTAAGGGGAGTAGAATGAAATAAGGTTGAAAAAGTAGTTTGGAGCCAAATTATAGAACACCTTGAATGCTAGATTAAGGAGTATGATTTTTATTCAATAAGCAATGATATTTAGCAAAACTAAAGGTCTTTTAGCAAGGTCAGATAGATATACCTTAGAAAATGACCCTGTTTAGTAAGTTAAGAATTAAAGCAAGATCAGAAAGGATATCTAGTGAAAAGGACGGAGCAGATGCCAGAAATATTGCAGAAGTAAGGATTTTCCTAACCAACTCCATCCTGATACTCTCTGTATTCCTAAGGGCTCTCATTAGCTTTGGTGTATGGGAAGTTACTATTTGTTATCTATCATAACATCTTCCCATAGACCATGGTTTATTGCAAAAGGTCCATTTGGAGATGAGGAGAAAAAAAATGCTGGATTTGGAATTCCAAGGAAGTAAGTTTAAATCCTGGCTCTCCCATTTATTACTCATTACTTGGTACCTGTGGATTTCGGACAAACCATTTAATCTTGCTATGCCTTAGTCTCCCTCCTCTATAAATTGAGTTGGATTAGATGACCTCTAAAGGTCCTCTAGCTTCAAATCTATGATCCATGAACATTCCTGTGCCTCACTCATACCAAATACATTTTCCTATGAATTCTATATAAGAAGTTACCTAGTAAAAATGGGTTTGCTGGGGCTGAATCATTGAGAAGAATAAGCCTGCTGGGATGAAGTCTGCCTCCAACATCAGCCCCGATCAAGTTCATGTTCCTCATCTTTTGACTGACCCCTTGAAAAACTATGGACAAGAGGATTAAAACGTGAGAGATTTTTTTCATCCTTTTTAACTTGTATCCCCAGTGCCAAGTATATAGTGTTTCTTCAGTACTTGTTGACTGGTAGGAAACCACGGGATTTGATCACGACAGCAGCCAAAGCCCAGATCACTTGTCTCTCAAATAAGTCTTCACCAGTACAACCAGGAGATAGTGGAATTAGTCCATTTCAGGGCCTCTGGAGAATGATACAAGGAACTGCTCCTTTTGGAAGCCATGATTCAAGGAAAAAACATGCAGGGAATGTTGAGGAGAATGCCCTAATATTTTAGGTATACCTGGTGTTAAAGCCAGGGGACAGGAGGATATCAGCATGAGTTTGAACCCTATGATAGTCACAGGCATCACCTCTGAAAGATCACGGAGAACAGTACCACAGGTTTAGGAATGGGCAAGGGAAGAGGGTAGAAATTTTAAACTATAAATTAGCAAGCTAGACTTTGATTCTTGGCCCGAATGAATAATAGAAGATAAAGAAATAATTCATACAGGAAAGGATTTTGTTAAAAATATTTATTAAAAAAATACAATTGTTTTGCATGTCTGGTTGCACATATAACTATTAACATATATGCATGATTTCTGACTTGAATAAATTCGCTACAATGCTTTTTAAAGCCAGTTCGCATTATACAAAGCAAATCCCTCCGTCAGTTCTTACATAAAATAGTTTTCTAAAACTTTAATTTTTTTTAAAAAAGGTACACATTGCCACTACAGCAATGTGTGTGTGTGTGTGTGTGTGTGTGTCTGCACGCGCACGCATGCGAGCACAAAAACTTACTCAATTTTTTTTTAAAATCACCTGATTATTCAGGGCAGCCCTCTCATAAGAGTCAGAGATGCTCTGGTTATCAACAATATTTTTTTCTTTTAAAAGCAGCATGCTTTAAAGCCCTCAAAGTGCAAACATAAACCTTTTCCTCACTGATCTAATCCTTGTGATAAGGTCTCTTTGCTATGTTTAAACATAAAAATTCTGGATTCTAGCTGCCCAATACTCCTGATCAACCTTGAAGATCATCCCTTTATTACTTCCCCACAGTGCATTAGTATTGCTCAGCTAGAAGACATGGCAGTTTCTCTCTAGTGGCACCATCAGCACTAATATTTTTTGCACTTTCCAACCTTTTTCATGTTGTAACACTCTGAAGGTCTGTCTAATGTAAATTGTACTGGGATTAATAAAGACCAGGGATTAATCAACATTTCAATAGTTATCTAGCTTTCTGTTTTGTTTTGTTTTTACTACATACGTACTTGCATTATACACTAGCAACACAAGCATTACTTCTTTACAATGGAAGTAGATACTAGATATTAGATACAATTTCAATAAAATGAACAAGGAAAAAAATTACAAAGAAGCAACTGTTCCCAGTTAAGTTGATTTAAGTATAAAGAAAGCACTCTAACAATTTTTCATTACCACATGTCCCAAACTAAGACCTATTTCTGAAATTATGCATTTTCTCTGATGTAAAACCTGTCAGTGTTTACAGAGTAAAACTCTCACAGGTAGATATGCTTTTTAAAAAATCCACTCCATGGACTGGGTGAATGAAATCCAAGAGTGCAAATCTGTTTAGCCTCAGTTAATGTTAAGCTCTTAGTTACATCAAAGATATAATCACACATATTACCAACACTAGAATAGCTCAACCAATGGAATTTCTAAAGAACTAATATTAAAATTATTCCCCATTAACTACTCACTCCCAGCTGTCTCTTGTATACATATACTGTTCATAGACACAAAAGTGCTCTTTAGCTGACCCAACAAAACAAGGACCATGGAGAATTTACTAGTTTGTTCTTCACAAAGTAAATCTCTAGACAGCCTTATTTTCTGAGCCAACTCCTGATTATCTGTCAGAATAAGAGACAAGAGCTGAAAAGCTAAAATACAGAAATAAGAAATTTTAAAGCCTCATTTTAGTGAATAGTATCAATCTCCTCATACCAAATTCTTAAGCCAACAGGTATCAAAATTAACTTATGAGTTTATCTGTTTAATTTCCCCTAGCCACAATAAGTGAAATTGTCTAAAGGCAGAAGGAAAAGAAACAGTTGTAGGCTGGATGTAGGATTTATACTAATAATAAACTGAATAAATTGCTTTTGAATAATCAAGAAGTAACTATATCGATTTATTTGCTATCTCTTAGAAATGCACCTCACAGATAGATTCACTAATACTGTACGGGGGGGTACATAAAATATGCTACTGTATCACAAAAGCAATGAATGTAATGTACATAAGGCCATCTGGTAACACTGCACCAATAAACAAAAATATATGAAATGTTTTTAGAAGGGACATAATTTCCCTCCACACCACAATGAACAATAAGTAACAATGGTTACACAGAGAAGAAACCTGAAATCTGACACATTACAAAATTTTGTGTAATCCATTAATAGCAAAACATAAAAATCACATTCTATATAGCACAATTTTAAAAGCTTGTATATTTAAAAACATTCTAGCCAAAATACACCTCAAAAAGCCTAGTAGAATAATCAATTTTGTGAATCCATTTGCCCCCCTCCCAAACAGTATAAATTCCAGAAATTATAAAATAGTAATAACCTCCACTCCCTGATCCTCTAAAGCCTTCAGTTGAAAAATTAAAAATTAAAACAAACAAAAAATTAAGTGCTTCCAGTTATGAAAATAGTGCTAATAATGGTGCACGACAACATGACAAATAGATTCGCATCAGCAAGCAAATAGCATCCTACCACTGTAGTCCAATCATATCAGGTTATTTAGTTTGCCAAAGCTCTGGGCCAGCTTTAGGTCATCCTCAATCCAAAAGGTCCTAAATCTGCCCTAACAGAACCCTCCTAGAGCCCCATTACCTGACTGATCAAGGTAAGGAAGGCTGAGAACAGCACTCATCCCAAGGTATTCTCTCTACTCTGGCATTTCTCCTTCCACTGACAATGCACTGTTCAAAGGGTTAAATCAGGCAACAAAGGCCAACTTCTAGTCATTCAATCCATGGTCACATTTCTCTATTTTAAGAATAGTAATTTCAGTATAAACCCCTATAATTATGCTGCAAGCAACCTGATGAACAGAGTCTCAACAGAGAAGCAAAAGTAAATGAAGACTATTGTTTAAAAATCCTGTTTGCCCAATCTTATACCAATAAAACAGACCAGAATATAAGATAATTTTTCAAAATTACATGTCATAATAGCACTGGGCTTTTTTAAGTTGGCAAGCAATAGTCCACATTAAGGCTTATGACTTTGTATTTACTGATATTTTTTAAAATAAGAAATTGAAATGTGCAAGGCATTAAACTTTAAAAAGTGATGTGAAACTGCAAAGTGCAGCAAAATTTTAGTTCTAGTATAAAATATATAGCCTAGGAACTATCCTAGTCTAAAGGATGAATAATACATATATATCCCTCTGAAAAATAGATTTTTTTATACATATATATATATACACATACACACACACACATTTAGCCAATATGCCAGAATGACTTGGAAGGAAATGTTCCAGTCTCTCGATTAAATATTAAAAAATAAAATTTTAAAACTGACAAAACTGTCAGATGTATATTATACCTAAGAGACCAGAGTTACTGTTATTTAATGTTTAATCACTTTCCCATGAATATTCTAATTAAAGGTTTCACTAAACATTTTAACAGAAATTTGAATTTTCTATTCTTTGTAAGATACCTAAGTTAAAACCAATATTCCCTCTCTCACAAATTACTTTCAAAATGGTAGGTATAAATGTCAACACCCCAGCTATAACAATTTTCTGGCAGATTGTTGATCTATTCATTAAAATATTTTTTCAGAAAGGTGGCTCTGGGAAAAAAATGGTGGCTCTCAGGGGAATATTTATTCTACATTGGCACCTCAGATGTGCTCAGTTTGCAAATCAAAACAAGATTTTCTTACCAAGAGGCTATACCCAGTATCTAAAATCAAGTCAAAACCGTCCCTTTTCCTTGCTAGTTACTAGGCCCACCCGCAAGAATTCTAGATTTCAAGGTGCAAAAGCTTCAGTGGTGGTTCTTCTGATAACCTAAGAGGCAGAGTAGGGTACTTTGTTTTAGGAAGTACAAGCAACATTTGAAAAACAACCACCCACACAACCTATCTTGGACACAAAACCAAGCAAGCATATGTAACAAGATGCTTTTTTTAAAGAGCCTATTGTCCAACCAGTTCTCTGACTGGAGAAAAATGAAAGTTAATCTCTACTTCATTTAAAGCTATTATGGATGGGAAAATTAACTCCATCACACTACCCTATGCAAGTCTCTTCGAGAAATGACATTGTTATACTCCTAGCCAGAAGACTCTCTACCAGCATCCTTCCTGCTTTTCTACAGGTCTTAAAATTCATCTTGGGCTTTAGATTTCATCTAATAGGGATGAAGACCCTGCCACTCCCATCAATTTGTTTTATACATAAAGTTCTAGATACATCATAAAAATGGCACTTCAGAAAGCAGAATTCTGTATTTCAAAACCTAATTTATCACAACAAAGGGCAAAAGGAAAAATGGAAACAAATCAGATTGGAACTGAGTGATAAATAGCATAAATCCATCCCTAAAAACATCCCTTTAGAACCTAAAAATGTTCCCTTATGTCCAAACAAAACCTTCCAATGAAGGATGAAAATAGGCCACATAAGTATACAGTAAAATAATTTTACATAATCCTGAAATTTGTAGTAAAATGATTACATAAAGGCTAAAAACAATTTATGGCAGTAAAATGAAAATTATAGTCACATGGAGGGGGAACTATTGGGAACACAAACTCTCAATTGCCAACTTATATTTTACCCAATTCATTTGGCCTTTTTTATTTGGCAACTTTTTAAAGAGAATGCTGAGTTTCATAGAAGTTAATGGCACACTCATGTACAAAATTCTAAATCTGTTATGGAGACGTTTGCATAAAAGGAAAAACCTAATACAAGAATAATCTGTATCATAAAAAAATACATGATTTTTTTCAAGGCTGAACTTGGAAGTAATACATTAAAACAATACTGCATGAATGTCTATGAGTGTGATTAAACTGACTGCACAAACAGCTTATCATCAGAACACAGCATCAGGAAACCAGTACTTCAGTATTAGCAAGAAGCAATGTTGTTGGACAACACATCATCATTCAATACGGGGTGTACACATAAATGAAGTGACGCTATTCCCGAGAGTTAAAGTTCTGGAATTCTAGGTTCTGTTTTTCTTTGTAAGTCTTACTGGTAATCTGGAAATAACTAGTAAGTAGAGTCTCCAGTGAGCTCTCAATTCTCGCTGTCTGAAACAATAGCATATATAGGTCTAGGCCCTTAAAGGGCTTTTCCAGTTAAGCTTAAGTCAATTCCCTAATATTTCCTACATGTATTTCTGAACTTAACTTTTTCTTCCAGAACATAAGGAAAACTTCCTGGGTTTGACTAGGTATCACCTGTGAAAGTGCTAAACCAACAGTCCTAGAGATTCAAAGCTCTCTCCATGGAACTAGAAAAAGCAAATATTACAGTATCTCCCTCCCTCAGAACCAGATTATCCTAGGAAGCAAAGAACTCTGGACGTGGCATCAGGAGACTAGGGTCCTAGCCTTAGATGGTGCCAAAGGAATGCTTTACAGTATACAGACTGCTAAAAATACGTAACAAACTTGTCAAATCTCTTTCCCTGAAGAGCTTTAAAAATGTGTTGAACATATATTTTACATGGTTTGGATACAGTTTTACTAGAATGATGGAGAACAAGCAAAATGACCGTGACCTTGTCCTTTGCAATTCCAAGATGATGCAAAATGAATTAGTGGAAGTTTTTATCTTATTATAACATATATGTACCAATCCCAAATCACTGCAACACACCACTTTAAAGAATAAAGATTATTAGCAACAGATTATGATTTGATTTTGAATATAAGGCAGCATAATATCTTTAATGAGGAATAATACTTTGAGAAATGATTGTGAAAGTTGTTGCAAGGTAATATGGGTCAGATGGCAAAGAAAAGAGAAGAAAGTCAGTCATACAGCAGAGCTCCTACTACCCAATTCAACTAGCTTCCCTTCTTTCACTTAGGCTATTGTTGCCTAATAGCATTCATCCCAGTAACATGATGGATAATCAGATGTAACTATTACACATCTGTATCAGCCTTCTCAATGACTATTGTTCCTAAATGGGATGCTACCTTTCTGATAAATATCTCTAAAATTTTCCAAAGATTCTGATACTGAGTTTTTGCCTAAAGGAGGTAGGTTAGGAAAAAGATGATCATGCCAGCCTTGTTCAGATGCGTTACAGTTGGCAATGTTTCATTTTTAAAAAGAACAGAAAGCTTCTCAATGATAAAAGACTCACCACCTTCCCTCAAATAAGGATGATCTCATGAAAAGAAAGCAAATCACAATCAACCAGTTATGGCTACATACCTCTCTAAGGTTGCAGGGACAGATATATTTAAGGGAAACCAGATAAAACTGGTTTCCATTAAGCTGCCTTTAACAGTGCCATCTAGTTCCCTGACATCCCTATCCTTAAAGACAGGAAATGCACAGAGACCAAAGATGTGATCTTGGAAAACAATCCAATGGCTTTATTCCTCATGAAAATAAATTTTTCCTTAGTGCTTAACAATTTTAAAACTCCCAGGTAACTTGAACCCCTAGCATCTACTTATTACAAAGTACAAAATAGTAAGCATACTAATGACACTAGCTCAGAAAGTGCTATTGGAGGTTTAATTTTCAAAGAGATGTACAAACTAAATAATCCAAATGACAGTTCCTGGTCACTACCTACCGCTACCTTTCAGCACTGCTATTGCACATCTCAGGAATGGATGGGTTTCTTATGCTAATGCTCCACAAATGAGCCAGCAACATACCTCCGAAATTTCAAAATATATGAAGGCAGTTCCCTGAATATATCCTTTTCCTCCACTCTCAGTCAATCAAGCTATGTATTAAAATTGATCTACTAGGCTGAGAAAGAGACTATTTTAGGACAGAAAGACACCATTCCACACCAAAAGTGGGTGAGCAAGTAATGTTATAAAATCTTGAGACCTCTGATTACACAAGTTATTATGAATACAATCTATACCAAAATTATGTAGCCAGCTACTTTCTTCTAATTAAAGTCTCATACATAAGAATCTCTATACAGTATAAAAACAAATTTAAAGTGAATTTTGTGCAGCTGGAAGGTGCTGAGTTGATGTATTGTCATCTGGAATCCTTCGTTTCTTTATCCCCAGCACAAGCAGTAAGCATATGAGTTCTCCCTCATCCTATTTAGTCAGTGTGATACAATCTTATGCTATCTCTAGCACAAAGGGAAATTCAACCTGGGGAGATTATCTGAATCTAGACTTCCAGGCCAAAAATATCAACGCAGTACCCAACTATGATGCTGGCCTCAGTCCAGTTTCTTGAATTAGGAAAAGCTACATTCACCTCACATGGACAGGGAATGATTTCTACCACATGGCTGATGTTTGGCGAATTAAAGCAAGTTCAGTGACTCTGAGATGAAAGCCTGCATTTCTCATTACCTGAACAACCCCAAACCAAAGCATGGGTATTCTCAAGTAAATGCCCCACCCATTAAGATAAAAATATTCCTACAAAATAAGTGCTTCTTTACCTCAATGCTGATTTTGAGGACTTCACTTTTCACCTTTCTCTCACATCTTCAAAACTATCACAACTTCAAATTTTAAAAGGAAATAAGAAAACAATGCATAGCAGAACCTGAGTAACTATGAACAGAAACGGGTCCTGTACTTTGGGTATCTTTTTGACTGAAAAAGCCACAAATGTTCTTTCAGCTTGCTCATTAGGCGTCTTAACTAAACATGTCCTAAGTTTTCAATAATGCAGCATCATCCTCACAACAGCCTATTCCTCATCCACAGTACTGTATTCAGTGGGTGTACAACTATACCACCCAGAGTGCGGTATAGACAATGTTTCTATGCTGGATGCAGAGTCCCATCTTCTCAAAGAGTCTTCCAAGCACTGTCTTATAAATCAGTGCCCATCACTTCAGGTTTAAAGAGTCTCCCTCAGTGTAAAGGAGAAAAATGGGACCCCATGCTCTGTTGACAGGTTCAGACAATATCGCACATGGCTCATGGTAACTGAGAGATTCACCCTGAAGAAATGCAAACTAGATGCCTCTTTCTGGGTTGCTTGCATATACTACAATTCACTGCAAAACTGTTTGTCTCCTCAACAGTGCTATTAACACCTCACTCTGTATGAAAGAGGAATACTTCTTTGTCCATGGCCATTTATCAGTTATAACTGACAGTGTATTCTTCACAGTGTGAGAAAGAACACCAAGAATCTCAAGGTGTGGCCAGTTTCATCCATCTGATGGTTTCTTGAAATAACTTATTCCAAGTATGAATCTCTTTCCTGACAACAGGTCCCAGTAGCCAAAATATTATTTTTGTTCTCATTTGCTCATATCAAAACACTATTCCATCTCTGTATTTTGCAAAAAACTCCTTTTACCCAAAATGAAGAGGGAGGATAAAGAAAAGGAGAGGCAAAAGGGACAGGTGGAGTCTAGACTCCAATTAAGGCGTTTCCATACATAGTCCCAACTTGAGTCCTATCAAAGAAAACTCTGAAAAGGCATTTTAAATGGGAACGGCAAAAATCACAACAATCCATTATCAGCATTGTGTAATTACAAACTGCTCGTTTTAAGTATGATCATGCTGAATGTTTTTTTCTTCTTTGCTTCTTAGTTCTCTTTTCACAAGTGCATGTGCTATGTTTTTTGCAGATCTGGAGAAAAGGGGCCAGGTGTGGATGGTCCATCCAGGCTAGACAGAGTAAATGACCCATGACTGTTCAGGACAGAAGGAAACTGAGAAAGAAAATAAAACACATTATAATCTTATTATTCAATTTCAACTTCCATTTTCTGTCTACTGAACTCCCTGAGGCACAACAGCTCATGCAGTGGCTAATAGGACCAATTTCTTGCCAAAGGCAGTCATCACTGTTTATCATCAGAACACATGCCTGGACTACAGAAACTTTATTTACAAAATGGAGTTTCTTTCATAAAATTCAAATGTCAATATCCTTTAACCCACTGTCCCATAATAGAAACTGAGAACACAAAAACTGGTCCAATTTTAGGCCATACTCCAAAAACATTCTCTCTTAAAGAAGGAAAAACAGAGCTAGGGAGACAGATGTGTATATCTATGGAAAAACAACAGCCTGCTATACTGTAGGCTACACCAAGCTTTTATATAAGCCAGGCTTGGGCAAACAATACAACCTACAGTCTCCCTCTATGTAAGTTTATTTTCTTAACAAAAATATGTTACTGTTACAAAGTAGGAAACCAGCTGATAAATCAAATCCAACACTGTTATTGTCATTGCCTCTTTTCCATCTCCCTTTTAGATACCATTTAAAAAACACAATGGAAATTTCCTAAAATACGTTTCGCTATAGAGTGGAATTTAGTAAAATGCCAATAATGGAATCCATCTAAGGGGGTTTAGTTACTGAGGTACCAAAAAGACTTCGTTATAAGGAAGTTCTGCCTAGTTTTCATGTCACAGATCCTGAAGAAAGTGACAAAAGAAGGCTTCAGTGTATTTATGGTTCCTGGAACAAAACCTCCCAAGCAGTCTTGCTTTGCAGACCATTCTATAAACTCTCAGTTATCTCTGCTAATAAAGGGCAAGGAAATATGGATAAACAGAATACAGAAAATCTCTAGGAAATTTAATTTGAGTCAATAATTTAAGGGTCATTTACTAACTTAAGGGAAGCAGCTAGGCGGCTGGAGAACTGGATGTGGAGACATGAAGACAGGGTTCAAATCCTGCCTCAGATATTATGTGACCAAGTCATTTAACCCATCTGTCTCAGTTTCCACATCTGGAAAAATAGGTATAATAAAGCACCCACCTCACAGTGTTGTTGTGATGACTAAAGGAGATAAGCTATCTTAAAGCACTTCACAAACCTTAAAGTGATATACTGGGTGTCCCAAAAGTCTCAGTGCAGTCAAAAAGCTTTTTTTTTTTTTAAAAAGGTCAAAACTACACCAAGACTTTTGGGACAAGTGTATGAATTCTATTTCCTTTTCTTTATCCCATCTACTCACTGAGAGAATAAATAAGCAGTTAAATGATAAAAAGAAAGAAGAGACTGGACAGTCCTTAAAATGGACAACCAATTCCTGAATCATTATTAATTGGCATACTTCTAGATCAGTGAATTAATATATTTAACATCTATTCTTTCAGGGAAACTATAGAAAGCAAAACCTACTTTTTTTTTTTAATAGAATAAAGGCTAAAGACCTCAAGGGCTTGTTGATTTCTCAACTGACAGGATATTTACTACATTCAATCTGTTAGAGGACAATTAGCTACGTTCACCTAAAAAAAAGAGTCTTTTCAAAGTTTAAAATGGTGGGAAAGATTTAAGGAGAATTATCAACTATTTAAATATTTAACAACTGCAGCTCTAACTCAAATTCATATAATATGAAACAACAACAACAAAAGAAATCTAGCTATGAGGTGGATATTTATCACAGATGCTGGTTTTCTGTTATTTTATGAGACTAACAATAGAGTTCCAAACAAGAGTCGGGATTCAGAAACATATGTATTAATTACAAGCTACAGAGTGAACAATTGGACACTGTGTTCTTGCCCTGTTTCTCAATTTAGACTTGCCCCATATATAAAATCTGAAAATGATGAAATGCAGTATATAATTTACCTGGAAAAGGGTGTTAGCACCTTGCAGTCTGGCTGGACTTAAAGGAGCAACAGGACTGAGAGTGCTCCAAAAGTGGATACTGGAGAGCAAAGGACTTGGCGTCAATAAGATAGGAGTCTGTAATACACAAGACAGAAATATTTACCAAATCAAATCACTGACATCCCAGATAGTGTCACATACACAATAGCCTAAAGCAAAAACTTTCTCCAAATCCGAAAAATACGCAAAAGGCAAAAACCCGATCACCACTTTAAACAGCCCAAGAAAAATAAAGGCAACAATAACTTCTTTCTCTTTCTTTCCAGGGGTTTCCCCAAGTAAGAAAACGGATTCTGATCCACTGGTTCTTTTTTCCAAGTGAAAAAGAACAGAAGGTAAGACTCATTCATATAGGGATATTTTCTCCTTAATGAAAAGAAAGCCTGAAACTAACATGGGAGTAATTCACCTATAAAAAATGTTACGTGGGATGAGCAAGTTAACAAATATCTAACATAACTGTGCAAACCTGTTACACAGCATCATACTGGTAATTTTTAAGAGTTCTCAGTACCTATTTTCTGATACTGAAACTTAACTACAAAAAAGCCTCAGTGTTAGAAAATACAATCAGTGTTCTTGGTCTTTGCCAACATCCAATTTGATATGACAAAAAAAAAAAAGACACCCATATGTACTTGGGGAGGGGACCCAAAGAGGTTGCTTACAACATCTGACATTCTTTTTATACCAAAACTTTTGTGAGGAGTTGTGTAGCCTAACTAAGTAAAAAGAAAGGAGATGAAGTTGATTTAAATGTAAAGTATGACTCAAAGGGTCATCCTTAACCTTTTCAGTAACTGAAAGACAAAAAAGAAGGCAGTAGCAGATTGAGAGCTTAAATTATGGCTGAATTTTTTTTAAGTTATGTAAAAGCAAACAATCCTGACATTAAAAGAAGGGAAGAGCTACCTGTGAAAAAAGTGCAGGGGTGAGAGAAGCCGTAGGGAGAGAGGGACTCAATATTCCCAGTGGGCTTGGATCACTGCCTGTGATCACCAGAGTAGGTGCCAGCTCTAGCCCTTTGGGTTTCTTGGACCTTGATGAATGATTTGTGCTCTCTTTCTCTAGCAGTGCTAACTCCTGGTCTTTGGGCTCCAATGAAAAGTTCTGAGAGAGGCCCACAGACTGAGAAGTCACTGAGTCAATGTCTGTGTCAATATCTAGGTCTGCATTAGGACTCAAGGGTGGTGAAGGTGATCTGGAAGGATCCTGCAAAGAGGGAGATATGGAAGAAACAGGAGGTGTAGTGGTAAAAGTGGTCATAATATAGGGTATGGAAGGTGGCGTTTCTGGAGAAGACATTTTTTGAGGAACTAAAGTCTCCAAGGCTTGGAGGGTTTCTTCTGAAGCTGTAGAAATAGTTGGGCCAGCTGAAATGGTAGGAGGAATAGGAGCAATTGATGACTTTTTGGAGGGTGTTGTCACAAATTTGATGACTGAAGGTGTTGGTTCCTGGGGAGATTTTTTTTCTGCCAGTTTCTCAGCTGGATTCTCAATTTTTATAGACTTGAAAAGCTTTACATTGGAGGAGTTCAAAGAGTTGAGAGTAAATGAAGAGTAGAGGCCAGAGTGTATATAGTCATTGCGGCTAGAGGCCTTGGCACATGGCTGAGGTGGCTTCTCTTTCCCTCCATTCTCCAAATCTTTTGAATTGGTGATGACTTCATTGAAGCCTGAAGTTTCACAGTCTCCCTCAATCCTCCCCACAGCCACTGGATCCATGTTCAAAATCTCTGGGTAAGAGACAAACTTGTACACAAACTTCTGACCATTCACTTTTTTGATGATATTCTGTAGATAGATAAAATAAGCACATTCTTATACCCCCCTCATTAATTTAGTTGCTATTCCTCTTAGGACAAGTTGTCAAAATACTTCTTAGACATATGAGATTCCCCAGTAGAGAAGTTAAGACACTTCAAAATGCAAGACAGGGAAAAACTTACAAACATCTGAATTATTATATAATAATACCACTGACATTCTGCATAAAGGCTGGAATATTTTAATATTCACAACCATGCAAATCATAAGTCAAAAATTGTAGATCTTGAGGCACCTGGATGGTGCAGTGGATAAAAGCTCTGGCCTTGGAGTCAGGAGGACCTGAGTTCAAATCTGGCCTCAGACACTTGACACTTACTAGCCGTGTGACCCTGGGCAAGTCACTTAACCCCAACTGCCTCACAAAAAAAATTGTAGATCTCAGATCTTAAAATTCTATAGATGTAAACTACACCTATCCTGAGAAAGTAAAAACAAGGCATTATAATCAAAACATTAAACTCCTGTTAAGGCTCCCACTTACCTCAGAGAGACCCAAGTAATTTCTTATCTAGTAAAATTACATAGAAGGAGCAAAAGGGCAAACCACTTGCTTTGAGGTTAATGAAATAAAGGTCATTGCTTAACACAAAGCAGATACTTAGTAAACATTTGCTGAACTATTCTTTTGATCTACTTTATCTCAGTGTCATCAGAATGTATTTTAAGTAAATATAAATAAAATAAGTATATTTTAACAAAAAAGTAACTCTATAATGTCATTGATAGCCATTTATTAATGTACTGATTCCATGAGCTATGGATTAAAGAACTAAAGGAAAAGTCAAATGCAGATATAAACATTGCATACTAAAAAAATCAAGTTATAAAAATGGGAAAAAACAATCTAGCTACAAGAGCCCAAATCTGTTGTATTCTAATCCTACATTTGCTTTGTTCTTTTAAACACTGCCACAACCAGTAACAGTATGGGGGGAGGGGGGGAGGGCAGGGAAGGGAAACACGAAGTAAAAGTCTACAGAAATACAGCTGCAACATATGGACCCTCAATCCTAAATTTAAAACTACAAAGGCTCTACATCAACTTATTTAAAGGAAACCTAACATATTAAAGAAACAGTCCTTCACTGAGACTGTTCAAGCAAACAAGAATGAGGATTTCAATTACCTTTACGTAGTAGTATCTAAGTGCTCTGCTCAGCTTGTCATAATTCATGCTAGGTTTGTTCTTGCGGATTCCCCAGAGTCGAGCCACCTCCTCTGCCTGCAAAAGTTTGAACTCCCCATCATTAGAGGTCCAGCAGATCATATGTTTGTTCTGAGGCTCCTGAAGGAGCTGAAGGAGGAACTGCCACAGTGTAATAGCACTGTCCATAGCAGTGAGCTGGAAAAAAAGATAGATGAGACACATGATGACGTCAGAAAATGCTCTTTGCCTTTCCAACAGACAACAGGGAAAGAAAAATTATGTTATTTCTACAAATTGTAGGAGTCAGAATAATGGTTGCCAATTGAAAAAGGCTTTTGCTATGAATTCTAGCCTAAAACCTCACCGCCATAGCCTTTTGAGAGATCCTAGTCTAAGCATTTGTTAAATGCACTGCCTTGTCCTGAGAAAAATAACTGTCAATGACACTCCCCCCCTTTAACCTCCTTCCCCCTCAAGTGTCACAGCTGTCATTTATGGACCAACAGGCAGCAATGGTGACTCAAACATCATATTCCTTAGTTTTATTTCACAAAGTCAATCATCATTCTACAATGCTCCACAAAGATCATAATTTAAATATGAAAAGGCCTTTACTTGATCGTCTGAACCTTTTAAAAGAAGAAAAACTTCAAAACCTCAAGTTTTATGATCTCACTGTGATGACAACCCCTTTCTCTGGATGGTGAAGCAACTTGGAAATTCTCCCATGATGTTATTCATACCATAAAACTTCAAAACTGTCTGCTAGAAAGATCTTGTTTTTTATAGAAGAAACCCAGGCTTAATATACATTCCCAGGAAGCCAATAACTAGAAAAGGTTATAAAAATAAGTTAGCATGAAATACCCTTACCTTCACCATCTAGAAGTGAAACCTGAACAAGTTAACATCAACATGTGTAAACATAAATAAAAAACAAAGTCTATCAATTACCACTTAACACTATCCTGAAGTATGGAAGTTTAATGTTTCAAGTCATTCATTAAGTTTGTTAGGGTCTCTGAGTTATGATTAAAGTAAAATTTAAAAAATATTGATCATCCACTGTGTGCAAGGCACCTTGTAAGGTGCTGCAAAAAGAGGCAAAGATTAGGGAAAGAAGGTTAACATTCTTGAATTACTCTATTTTGTTCTCTTTTTTTAAAAAAGTTAAATTTTATGTTTTGAATTTTCAAGCATTTCTTTCTTTTCCTCCCTCCAATTTCTTCCTCACCAAAAAACAAATAAACAAACAAAAACAAACTTCTTGTAACAAATAAACAATAGTGGAACAAAAACTCCTTTAATGCCTACGTCCAAAAATGTGTCCCTTTCTATGTATTCAGTCCATCACCTGTCAGGATGTGGGTAGCATTCTCCATCACTGGAAATCTGGGATCATGGCTGATCAATGCAATGATCAGAGTTCTTTAAGTCTTTCAAAACTGTTCTTTTATACAATGCTGTTGCAATAGTATAAAATATTCTTCTGTTTCAACTCCCTTCTCTCTGCAAGAGTTCATACAATTCTTCCAGAATTCTCTGAAACTGCCTTATCATTTCTTACAACACAACAGTCGTCCACAACGTTTAAATACCATAAATGTCTTCAGTCATTCCCCAACTGATGGACAGCCTGCTATACTTTCCTTCTGAAGAATTCGAAGTGCTAATGTTCCACAATTAATTCACAATGTATCAAAACATTCATTAAGTTTGTTGAAGGTGTTCCTACAGAAGTCCTACTAGTCCAGTTATACAGAGAAGGGATACTACAGCCCAGAAAAGGGAAAGTTATTTCTAAATTACATACAAGGTCAACAGAAAAGCTAAGTACCAAGTTTTTTTTAGACAACCAAGTATTTTATACATTTGGAAAACTCAGGATAATTAATACTGACACTAACAGTGACCTGTGAAAGATTACAACATGCTACCATAACGCTAAATAACTATGTTTAGAAATCAATTCCATTCTGGTGTTTACACTTCAGTCAATTAATGTGTGTTACTAGAGCTTTGTGTCTTTGGAACAGTCCCAAGTCAGAGGCATATTCTTTATGAGTTAGAATGTTATAATTACTAGATTCATATTCTTTTTGGCCATACTTCTAATGATACACCATAGTTATTCAGGATATTATGCGTTCAGGGATACACAAGGCTTCCATTTAAACAAATATTTGCCAGGCAAGGCCTGTTAAAATTGCTGTAACATTCTCCCCAATAAATACTTAACTGAAGAACCCAATTTCCACATACTCATCAGTATGATGAGAATGCTACAGCCGATTAAGGGGGAAGGGGATGAAAAGTAGGGGATCTGTGTTCATCATAGCTCCAATCTAACTTTCCCGACAAACTGGACTATTCATCATTCTCCCAAAGCGTCTCACACTTTTCCACTTTTGCTCACTTCTCCCTGTATCTGGAACTCTACACATTAAGATTCATCAGCAGCTGCTCAAATTCTACTTATACTAGAAAGCCCAAATCCAAATATCCTCTTCCAGAGAGGTCTTCCCTGATTTCCTACCAAGACAGAACTGTTCTCCATTTCTATGAACCCAAATAGCACCCTTTTATAAAATCATATAATTTTAGGGCTAGAAAGAAACTGAAGAGATCATGTACTTCAATCCCTCATCCTGTGAGAGAATTGAGGCTCAAATATTCTTACCTCAGATACATATTAGCTGTGGGACCTTGGATAACTCACTTAAATTCTTTCAGGCTTAGTTTTCTTCATCTGTAAAACAGGGATAATAGTCCCTACCTCACAAGGTTGCTGTGAGGATCAAATGAGATAATCTTAAAAGCATTATATAAATCTTGCAAATCTTAAGGCATTATATAAATGACAACTTATTATTATCACCTTTTTAATGAAATTATAGTCTGTTCTACACTAGTTTTTATGTACCTTCTACCATTCCTACTAGATTATAAACTCCTTGAAATTAGGGATTCCATCTCATTTATTTCTGTATCTCCCCCAATGTTCTGCACATGTTTAATGAAAGAATGATTCGTGGAGTTAAAGCTTTTGCACCTTCAATTTATCATGACTCACCTACATTTACAAAAATAAAAGCATGATCTTCTTCACATTCTAGCACACAAATGGTGGATTGACAAAGAGTAGTTTCCAAGATGAAAGATATTCTCAAGATGGCAGGTGAAATAGTGTCACAGAAAAGAATGAGGTGGAGGGGGGTTCGAGTGAGGGGGTGTGGCTTGCTGGACAGGGGCAAGAAAAGGGATGTATCGAGGCAATGAAGATATTGTAAAAACAAATATGATCAATAAAATAAGATTTTAAAAAGAATACCAGATTTTGAGTCAGAAGATCTGGGTTTTGAGTCCCAACTCTAGTATTTACTAGCTATGTGACCGTGAACAAATCACTTACATTTCTCCAAATTTCAGTTTCCTTACCAGTAAAATGGTATAATACCTATACTACCTCATAAGATGTGTAGTAAATATTTTGTAAATTTTAAATCATTATCTAAATGTTAGTGCATTATTACTTAAAAGATGATGAGAAATTAAGCTACAGGCATAATTTATATTTGGTCATCAATTAGTGATTTTAACATCACTAAAATAATACTGAGTCAGTATATCAAATGCAGAAGCCATATTACAGAACAACATTCTCTCTGGGCGCTGACTGACTTGAAATACATTTATTGCATTTGGAATTGGAGATGTTGAGAATGAGAAGAACACTGCCACACTGAAATGAATTATTTGACTGGTACTATCCCATTCAATTAGGATATCACCCTATTCTTGCGTTGACATCTTACCCAAATTTAGTTGGCTACTTATTCCTTGTGTCCAACTCTTAAATACTATTTCCTGAAAGTATGGTATAAACAGATTTCAGTAATATCTTTTTAATGAAACAACTTGTTTTTAACACATTATACTCAATAAGTAAGCATTTATTAAGGGTCTGCTATGTGCCAGGCCCTGATATAAAGCCAAAATTATCATTCTCTGTCCTCAAGGAACTTATATTCACATACACATAAGTATACATACAAATACAAAACATATATATAAGGTATTAAGCAGAAGGGGCAGCTGCCAAGACAACCTCACCCAAGAGGCAACATGGTATAGAAGAAAAGATAACTATTGGCTTTGGAGTCAGTAGACCTCTGTTCAAAACCCACCTTGATCTTCCTATTTATATAACCTTGGACAAATCATTTAACCTTCAGTTTCTCAGTTTCCTCATCTGTAAAATAATGAGGGTGAATGAGTTGGCCTATGGTTCCTTTCAGCTCTAAAACTATTATCTTATGATCCTCTAGAGTTATATTAAGAAAATTTAAATTAAAAAAAAAGCAAAGATGATCTTATTCTTGTCACTGTGGCTCAAAAAGGAGAATACACTATATTTTTATTTCAAGATTTCTTCAAATACAGCTTGAAAGAGGGAACACTTGTGTTTTCTTTAGCACAAAGACTAAAGGAGAAATATAATGATCTTTTCTCAAAATTAGTTGCTATTAATACAAGTGGGATGCTGAATATGTTGCAACTGAGTCTGCAGTGAACATCTCAAAGCTTTGAGAATTTGAGAAAATATGTATCAGAGCATGATTTCTTAACTTTGAAATAAAGGATAATTTCTATATCAAAGTACAATGTTAATACTTTCTTATTATGAAAAGGAAGTCTCTAATTAAGTGAGACCTTTTCCACCCTAAAATATGTTTACAATACAGACTGGTTCAGTTGCTATAGTGACACAGAGCATAACTGTTTTTTAAAAAACAAAACACTAGGCTTTAAAAAACTTCAATTATTAACTAAAATAAAATAATCTCAGTTCATTAAATGGACCAAAATTGGTACTGAATTATCATTAAAATACTAAGAAACCTAATCTCTTAAGAGTGTACTCAAATAGCACTGGGAATATATAGCAAAGTATTACAAATAATAGCAATGGAAAAGATAATCATACTTTATTAACAATGTAACTGATTTCCACTTAAGCACTTCTGAAACAAAACTGAAATACAAGAAGGGTGGAAGACTAAGATTGAAAATCAAAACTCATCAAGCATTTTAATAAAGATAACACTAGAGAAACAAATAAGTTATAGTACACTAAAGTTTATGATGTATTTTCCTCACTTCATCATTCTGTTAGATAAGTATTTGTACTAGGATTTTTTTTGAGGGACTTGTAATTTCATAAGTGTAAGGAGCTCCAAGAGAGGTTACCTCCACTACCAATGCAAACAGGCACCTCCTCTCTAATTTAGTCTTAAATTTTGCCTGGGGCTGAGAGGTTAAGTGATTTGCCCCAGATCTCCAGACTCAGGTCACCACTCGATTTCCACTATGCCAAGCTGCCTGATGATTGTGACAGAGAAAGGAAAGTGAGACTTAACAAAATTCCATGACTAGCTCAGAGTCACACATCAAGGAAATATGGGAGCTTGGGATTTGAACCAGGATACTTTTTCTAAAAGTAAAATTATTCTTCCTACAAGATCAAACCATAAAAAAGGGCATGACCTAGCAACCTAAAGGTGCGATAGTGAGTTTGTGTGCCTTTTTTTTTTTTTAGCAAATACTACCCTACTGATCTTACTGAAATGGATAAAATATCATTTTCTTTGCCAAGAAAACCCCAAATGGAGTCAGGAAAGGTCAGACACAGCTGAACTACAAAATAAAAGCCAAGAGTATAAAAAAAAGCAGCAGTATCTCTTTCGGCTATGTCAGACAACAAACAGGCCTTCTTCCTCCCTGTTTCATGGTCCAGATCAGGTACATCACTGCTATGAGTCCTTCCACCTATCAGTGACTGCTTCCTTTTTACACTTCTCTTACCTCTCTGAATCCCTCCTATGAACTCATCATAATACAACCTGTAGTATTATCTTGTCCCTAGTTTCTTGAGGGCAGGGACGGGGAGGATCTCGTTTCACTTTGGCATCCCTGACACCTGGAGCAGCCTACTGGGGCATAAAGGCAAGGAGAAAAACATGCTTCTGACGAGTCCCCTTCTAACTGCTACTGCTAACTTTGTACAACTGTGTAGAAAGTGAAATTCTTCAAGGGTAGTCTGAAAAAGAATGAAACTTTATAGCCAGCTCAGGGAGAGGAAGCAAGGCTGATGACCGAGCGCCCCAGAGGAGATCAAAGTCCTGAGAAGAGCTACAACCTCCCAGGCCTTTGTAAGTAATCAGTGACTGTACTTTCATTTTCCGACTTCCTGCCACCAAATAAAATCAAACTCGCTCCCTTCCTCCCGGCCCAGACAATGATGCTTTTGTTGGGGGGTGGGGTTGGGATGCGGCTTGCGGCGCCCCGGTCCGCCCGTCCTCCGCCGAAGCGGGCTGGTCCCTAGGGACCATGCCGAGGATGCACCTCCGAACATCCCCGCAGTCGTGGGCGGGGACATGGGGGGGGAATGCGGATCCCGCTCGCGAGGACCGGAGCGGGCTGTGGGTGGCGTGAGATTGGAGGTGACAGCAGAGAGCTCGCGGGGATAGGCGGCCGGGGCGCGCCCACCCCACTCCCGCCCCCGCCGGCCCCACCCCCAAGCAGCGGGGGGAAGGGGCGCTCGCTTCCTGCGCGCGGCGTGGGCGGCGGCCACGAGAGCCGCGCCGGGCCGGGGCGCCAAGGAGGAAAGGCTGGGGAGACGGGCGAGGCTCACTCACCGAGGGCGCGGGGGTCTCCCTCAGATCCTCCTCTCCCTCAGACGCCGCCGAGCTGCGGCTCAGACGCGGCGGCCGCCGCCCGCCGCCGTCTGCTCACGCGGGCAGCCCACGGGCGCTACGGCCGCGGAGGCGGCGGCGGCCGAGCCGAGCCCGCCGGGCGTCCGCAGTCGCCCGCATCTCCCGCCGCGGCTCCTCCCGCCCCGTCCCCGTCCCCGTCCCTCGTCCGCAGGCACGCACACGCACGCACAGCCTGGGCTGCAGAGCCGGGCAGTCGGGCCGATAGCCGCCCTCACCGACCGGCCAGCGGGCGGATGGGCGGGGGCGGGGGCGGGGGCGCGGGCGCGCGCTCGGAGCGTTCCTAGCCTCGGCCCCGCGGCCTCCGCGGCTCTCCTCAGCGCTGCCACCCTCCAGCCCAGGCCGACCCCTCCCGGCCTCTGTATCTGTCGACGTCACTTCCGGGGGCGGGGCGGGCGGAGGGGAGGAGCGGTCGCTGGCGGAGGAGAGCGTGCAGGGGCCGCCGCCACAAACACCCCGCTAGAGGCCGGGGCCGGAAGCGGGTGGTGCGGGGGCTATGGCCACCCTCCGCGACGTGCGCCCCCGAGCGCCCCGACCCGGCCGTGCCCGGGGAGGGATTTTCCAGGGCCCCCTCCGGGGAGTACCCCAGGGAGGTATCCCTGGCCGGGCTTCCCCTGCCACTCCAGCGGCCCCTTGTCCTTGTCCCGGTTCCTGGGATGTGAGCATTTATTAAGCATCTACATGTGCAAGGCCCCGAGCTAAGCGCTGAAGATGCAACAAGAAGCCGAAGACAGACCCCACCCTCCAAGGACTTACCGTTTAATGGGGTAGACAACGTGCATACAAGTATATACAAAGCAAGCTACAAAAAGAATAAATAAATAGTTCCGAGGGAAGGTACTGGAATTAAGAGTCAGTAAACATTTATTAAGCACCTACTATATGCCTGGCGATGTGGTTGGCACTGGGGATACGAAAAGAGGCAAAAGACAGCCTCTTGCCCTCAAGGGGCTTCCAAAATAATGTATGTACAAACAAGTATATGCAAAGCAAGTTTCGGACAGGATGAATTTGTCTTTCGGTCAAGTCTTGTGTCCTTTTGCTGACCCCGTTGGGGTTTTCTCCGCAAGAATACTAGAATGGTTTGCCATTTCCTCCAGCTCATTTTACAGATGAGGAAACTGAGGCACACGGTGTTAAATGACTTGCCCCGGGCCGCAGCTAGTGTCTGAAGCTGGATTTGAATTCAGGAAGATGTCAAGCCCGTTACTCTCACGGCTTGACCTAGCTGCCCCATAAAGTGGATAAATAGATAACTGAAGGGGGAAGGCACTAAGATTAAGTCAGTCAGTAAGCACATACAGTATTAATAAACAAGCACTTTACTTATGCTTTGCTTACCAAGTAAGCACTTACTATGTGACGGAACTGTGGTAAGTGCTGGAGATAAGAAAAGAGGCTAAAAACAGTCCCTGCCCTCAAGGGGCTTACAGTGTCATGAGGAAAACAATTTACAAACAGGTTTATACAAGGCAAGCTATATACCGGACAAATAGGAAATAATTAACCGAGAAGGCACTAGAATTAAGAGGGAATGGGGAAAGCTTCCTGTATAAGATGAAGATTTTAATTGAGACTTAAAAGAAGCTAGGAGGCAGAGATGAGGAGGTAGAGCTTTCTAGTCTAAACAGCCAGAAATAATGCTCAGAATGGAGAAATGGGAGGGTCTTGTTTCTAGAGCAACCAGGAGACAAATGTTACTGGATGGAAGAGTGCCTTTGGGGAGTAAGGCATAAGAGCTAGCCTTTACATAGAGTTTTTAGGGTTGCAAAGCACTTTACAAATATTAATTAGCACTTCATTCTCATAACTATCTGGGTTGTTGTTATCCTATTTTACAGATGAGGAAATTGAGGCAGGCAGAAGTTAAATGACTTTCTATGGTTTACACAGCTAATCAGTTTCAGAGGCTGGATTTGATCTCTTTCTAGTCCTCTATTCACCCCGTCACCTAGCTGCCTGGAGGGATCCTGCCCCAGGAGTTAGTCAATAAACATTTATTGAGGGCCTACTGTGTGTCAGGCACGGTGCTAACTGCTGGGAATACAAAGAAAGAAAGGAAAAAAAAACCTATAGTCCAGGTCCACAAGGAGCTCACAATGTAGTTGGGGAGATTATGCAAACAGCTATGTTTGAAAAAGATATATACAGGATAACCTGGAGATAATTTCAGTGAAAAAACTCAGATTTAAGGAGGATTGGGAAATGCTATTTGTAGAAGATAGGATTTTGCCTGACACAAAGCCTGGGAAGCAGGGACAGAGCTGAGGAAAGAGCATTCCAAGTATGAGGGAAAGGCAATGACATTCAAGAGATGGATTGTTCTGTTCAGCATCACTGGATCATAGAGTGTGTTGAGGAGGGTAATGTATAAGAAGGCTGGAAATATAGGAAGGGGCCGGGTCATGAAGGGCTTTAAAATCTAAACAGGATTTCCTATTTGATCCAGAAGGTGATAGGGAACCGCTGGAGGTTAGTGGAAGGTGAGGAGAGGTCAGACCACTTTAGGAAGACCAATTTGACAGCTGAGTGGTGAAGAGAGAGGAGACAGGAAGACTAATCAGGCCATTATCACGGTCCAAGAGAGAGGTGATGAGGGCCTGAACCTGGATGGTCTCCAAATAACTATGTGTCTTGTTACCACAGCCACCTCATCAAATACCAGTTTTCTTGGGGCAAAGACTACAGTGCCTCTGGCATTCTAAGAAAGTATATATTTTTTAAAAGTATATTTGAAAGGAATAGCAAGTTGTGCATAGTAGATTTGCAGTTTCATGTATAATTGTCTTTTCTACTGTACTAATGTTATGGAAATGCTTTTTTATTCCATAAATTAAAAATAAAACTTAATGATGAAATAAATAAGAAAAAAAAACAAAGAAAAGAAAGTATATCACCCCAGAATGCCTGATGTTTGATAACTCCTAAATGAGCCCTTGCTTTCACTTTCATACCTCTTTGGCTAGCTAAAGGAAAATCTATATAGCCCCCCACAAGCCAACAAGGAATTTCCTAAAGGAAGGGATTTAAGAGTTACTAATAAGTTAAAAAGTATTTAAATACATTTTACAGGCATAGAGTGTGGTGGAAAGAGGACCAAGGATCTGGCTCAGCTACTTATTGTATGTGTGATATTGGACAATTTATTTTGCCTTCTGGGTCTGTAAAATGAGGGCATTGGACCAGATAATCACTAAGGTCCCTTCCAGTTCTTAAATCTACGAAATGTCTTGCTCTACCAACTTTCTGATCAATTCAGCGAACATATTAAGTGCCTAATATAGTCAAGATATTGGGCTAGGTTCCGGGAATACAAGGCAAGAAGCCCAACTCTGAAACAGCAGACACTCTAGTATAGAAGACAGACTAAGTGGTATGAACAATCTGAGGATGGAGAGTATACATTCTTTTGGGGAGAGGTGGTGGTAGTGGAGTCCCTCAGGACTGTGAAGGCACTTGATAGAACTTTAAGGAAGAGAGGAGCTTCAGCAGATGTGATGGAGAAATCTGTTCTAAGCATAGGAGATAGGTCTATACTAAGGCATCCAGAAAGTGAAGGCAGGACCAAAACAGGGAAGAACCGTCCAGTTTGACTAGAATTTGGAGTATATTGAAAGGAATTGTATGAAATAAAATGAGGAAGGTGAATGAGAAGGACTCTGTGACTACCATGCATCTTCTCTGCTAGCCTCTGGAAATATGGATTAAAAAATGAGAGACAGTAGCTGCCTTCAAGGAGCTCACATTCCACCAGAACCTTATTTGTGTCATGTATCTTTCTGGCAGTCCAGTGAAGCCCATATACCCCTTCTCAGAATAATGTTTTTAAATCATTGGAGGATATGCTAAATTTCAGTTAGAGATTAAGGATGTAATTTTTTTCCCCATTCAATTTCATAGACCTCCTGAAATCTTTTCACAGATATTGATCCCAGGTTGAGAACCCTTATAACAGAGAGATACAAACTATTCAGAGATAAATACATACTAGTTAAATAAATACAGAATGATTTATATACATCCATCTTGGCTTCTCTGCAATATTTGACCCTGTTCACCATCCTCTTAATTTTCATGATACTAGTTCTCCTATATGAATCTGCTCCTTCTCAATTTTCCTAACTATGGATGCATCCCCAAGACTGTCGTGGGCCCTCTTCTCTATAATCTATTGCCTTGTTGACTCATTGCTCTGGAAGTCCATCAAAACCCCCAGATCTTTTTCAGACAAACTGCTGTTTAACCCTTTCTCCTCCCCTCCTACTCCCTAGATTTTTCAATGAATTGTAAGACTTTATATTTATCCTATTTAATTTCAACTCATTTGACTTGTCAACCCTAACCAAATGATTGAAGGGCCACAACAGCTTTTCAACTGCCATTAACTCTAAAAAAGACCCAGAGAGCTCACACAGGTTATCAAAACCACAGTTAACTTTAAAAAATAAAATAAAACAAAAATAAAACCAAAGAGGTAACAGTGGTCAAAGCTTTCTTTATTCCCTTGGAAGAAGGAAACTAGACCCATGTGCTGGGGCCCCCTCTAGCAAGAGACCTGCTTTATTGTGGGTAAATCTCAATACCTATACTAGCAGCTACATAGTGAGCTGTAGCCCTGACAATGAGGGGTAACAGCAGCAATGAGACAACTTTGATGCATAGGAGGACTTCGTGATTGGAACATGGGTGATACAGGTGCTCATCCAAGCTCAGAGACTACTTGGTGCTAGTGTGAAACAATTCTGGGATTTTGCTATGGTTGAGATCATCCAGAGGTTGAGTGCAAAGGATTGCTGTTATACCAAGCTCAGGGCACAGCTTGTTTGCTGGGCCTTAGCTCTGGAAGACAGGGTATCTCCTCATAGTAAAAAGAAAGGGCTGATCTTGGCATGGGGATCCTGACAGACTCAACACAGTGTCCTAACTTGTCAAGATTTTTCCAGATCCTGACAGTTGTCCAGTTTGTTTGCTATGTCTCTCAGCTTTGGGGCAGCAGCAAATTTGATAAGCACACCA